TCCAAAATATTTGTATTCTTTTATACAGGTAGATAAAATATTATTAATAACAGAAGACTTAAAAAACATTGGAAATACTTTTTTCAAATCCCAGAACTGGGAGATGGCCATTAAAAAATATACAAAGGTTTTAAGGTAATAAAATATTTTTAATAAATTGCTTTTAAGAACTTGTAAATTGAATTGTAAACTGAAATTCAAGAGTTTATTGTATTTTTGGCAGATTAGCTGCATTTTTTTGTTGCCCCCAACTTCTTAATTTTGAAAAATTTCCAAATACAGAAAAGTTGGAATAGTACATGAATGAATGCCCATATATCTTAACCTACAATTCACTAGTTAATTTTTACTGTTTGTTTTTGAAGAATCATTTTTGAGAGGAAGTTGCTGATACCATGATACTTCACCCCTGAATATCTATTATTAAATCCTAAGAAACAAAGACATTCTTCTACATAACCTTACTATACCATTAAAACACCCCAAAATAGCATTCATACAATATTACCTAATATGTAATCCACATTCAAATTTCCCAATTTTTTTTTTTTTTTTTTACTCCAGAGTCAATTGTATCATTTGGTTTTATGTCTCTAGTTTATTCATCTTTAATAGTCCCTATTCTACAAGTTTTTTGTCACTTATACTTTGTGGAGTCTTAAATAGGCTGTCTTCTATAATACCATCTGTTTGATTGTTTCCTCAAGGTTAGGTTGAGGATATTTTGGCAAGAGGACTTAAGTAGGTGATGTATATTTTCTATGACATCACACATATTGAAGGCACATGTCAGTTTTGAGTTTTGGCACTTGATTAAAGTGATGTCAGCCAGATGTCTTATAAAAATGCCTTTTCCCCTTTGTAAATAGTAAGTACTCTGAGGTGATACTGTGAGATTGTGTGCATATTCAGTTTCTAACATTTTATCCAGTGGTTTTACATCATTGAAGACCCTTGCCTAATCAGTTATTGCCTTGATGATTGCAGAACTGTGATTTTTCTAATTTTATCACTCATTCTACAGTTATTGTAAGCTAGCATTCTTCTGTTTCAAAGAACCTTTCCTCTCCCCACTTTCAAGTATCACTATAGACTGTGGGTTTTTTTCAGGTCTTATACTATTACTATAATTTTTTTTGAAGCCCAAAGGGTTCCAGATTTTTCTAGTGGAAGCCCCCTTTTCTACATCCCTTTGACATATTCCTCTTAGTCTGTGATCACTTGGCTTACTTTCCGACACAAGATGTTCCAGGCTCCTTTTTATACTTAACCCATTTCCTGATTGGGTATCAGCAATTTCTCCAAGGAGTGCTGATTCTTTTCACTCGGGTATAAACTTTAGAGAACAAATTATGGGAACCAGGTATGCTTATTGTTTCTGAGTCCTTGTCAGTAGACAGAGCTAGGAACTGTATTCAATGACGATTCAAAACCAACACTACAGAGTTCTTCACCTTTCCCATTCCATTCCCTGTCACACAATGAGAACCTTGCTTCTCAAAGTACGTAATTGAGACCTGGTTTTTAAAAATAAAAAGTGTTAATAGTGCACAATTATCTTTAGATGTGGGGATTATTCTTAAATTGGCCTGTTTGAACAATTTGGGAAAAAGTTGTAACAAATAATAAGTTATCTGAAGAAGAAAAGATAATGAATATTAAGAATATTAATATTAGTGTTTAATAAACTTTTTATATCAGAAATGACCTAACATTTTTTGGCATAGTTGAAGAAGCAGAATATGTCTTACGCTAGTTTTATATTTTACTTTTATTAATGTGTTCTCCAGATATGTGGAAGGTTCAAAAGCTGTTATTGAGAAAGCAGATAGAGTGAAGCTGCAACCTGTAGCTTTAAGTTGCATGCTGAATATTGGTGCTTGTAAACTAAAGATGTCAAATTGGCAGGGAGCAGTTGACAGTTGTTTGGAGGTAAGTCTGTTTGCTGTTGAACTTTTTGACAGTGTTGAATTATGATTTATGAACTTGAACAAAACAATTTTATATACATTATATCATTGCATAGGACCTAATGAGACTTGATAACAACATGTCATTTCATCTCTAAATATTTTGGAAATCAGTTTTCCTCTCAATCCATTTACTGAGCTTATTGTATTACTCAATATCTATTAAGATACTTTTCCTTTTTTCCTCAAAGCACATCTATCAGCTCACTTATTCATTTAACATATTGAACACCTGTTATGTGCTAGGCATTTGAAGACAAAGCCAGGAATGACTAAGAATATGGGTTTTGGAGTCAGTCATAGTTTTTTTATTAGACTTCTAACTTTGTGATCTTGGGTAAGTTCCTAATTTAAAAGTCTTTATATGTAAAGTGGAAATAATATCTGCCTCATGGGTTTATTATAAGGATTATATACCACTAGGGTCCCTAGGCCTAGCCAGCAATTAGGGCTGATTGGGGCCTTCCAGCTGCCAGCCGGGGCCTTCCTTTGTTCCATGCTGCCCCTTGGTGGTCAGTGCACATCATAGCGATCGATTGAACTCCTGGTTGAACTCCCAAGGGGACAGTTTGTATATTAGGTTTTTATATATAGACTAGTCGCCCGGTGCAAAAAATTCGTGCACTTGGGAGCAGGGGTAGGGGTAGGATCTCCAACCTGGCCTGTGCCCTGTCACAGTGCGGGAGCCCCGCTATACATCGCCCACCTGGGGCTCCGCGATGGATTGCCCCAAAGAGGTAGGCCTGTGGACCTCCGCGTGTGCACCTCAGGAGCCTTGGTGCTCGTGTGTGGAGGCCCCCGACATGGCCCCACCCCTGTCCCTGATGCTGCAAGTTCCTGTCCACCCACATCTGCTACGCGTGCAGCCTGATGATCCGTAGTTACTGTGATGGCGTCCCAACAAATTTGTATATTACCCTACTATTAAAGAGACTAGAGGCCTGTTGCACAAAGAGAATCGTGCAATAGGCCTTCCTTTCCTTGGCTGCCAGCACTGGTTTTCCTCTGGCACCCGGGACCCAGGCCTTCGCTCCGGCCGCAGCGGAGAGGCGAAACCTCTTCAGCCTTCAGTCTTTGCTGCTCCGGCCAGAGCCTTCAGTTTTCACTTTGTGCCTGAGTATGCATATTAACCGCCATCTTTGTTGGGTTAATTTGCATACTCTGATTGGCTGGTGAGAGTAGTGGAGGGACGGTCAATTTACATGTTTTCTATTATTAGGTAAGATAGATATGTAAAGCATTTACCAGTGCTGGGCTCATGTTAAGCACCTTTATGGAGACATCCAGGAATACTAACAGCAACAGCTAGAAAGGTAAAAGCATACCTTACTTAAAATACACAATTATGACTTTCTCCCTATTGTAGAGCTGAAAAATTTTCCATACTAAACCATGTATTTTAGAAAGACCACCTCCAATAATTTTAATGTATATTGCACATTCTGTACATAGATCAGTAACATCCACAGCAAGGAGAAATGAGATCCTAATTTCGTAGGGTAGGTGGAATAGGGATAAGAACATACTTAGAATGGAGTACAACAGAGGAAAAACATTATCAGAGGAAAAGATTAGTCTTCACCAATCTTCTGGATCTCTTTTTGACCTTTGTGAGTCAGATAATGTACCCTTTTCAGTAAATCTAAGTACTGACCTTTAAAAGATGTTAAGTAAAAAAATATTTTTAAAACATTTATTTCAGAGTAGAGACCTATTAAAAGTTATTCATCCTCCTAAAAAATTACATGCAAACAGACTTTTATTCAAAACTAAAGGCCCAGTGCATGAAAATTTGTGCACTGGATGGAGGGGGCAGAGGGTGGTGGGGGCGGGAGGTTTCCCAAAGCCCGGCCTGCCCCCTCTCACAGTCCAGGAACCCTCAGGGATGTCCTACTGATGGCTTAGGCCCACTCTGCATGGAAAGTGGGCCTAAGCCACAGTCTGGCCTCCCTCTGAGGGAGGTGACTGGGCCAATCAGGGAAGGTGCCACCCCCATCATCCTACTGCTGCTGCCACTGCCAGCTGCCGTGGCTGCTGGCCCTCAGCCCTCACTTCTTAGTGCTGGCCTGCCCCCCAGCCCTCGGCCCTTGCAGCCACAGCGGCTTTGTCTGGAAGATGTCCAATCTATCCGGTCTAACTAGCATATTACCCTTTTATTAGGATAGATGGCTTTCTTTGATCAGTTAGGGCCAAATCAGGAAATAGAAACCATACAGAACTTTAACAGAAAATATAAGAGGGGACTGGAATAATAAGGGATTGGCTAGTAAAGAGATTCTAAAGTGATGGGACCAGCGGATCTGTTTCCCCTAGGTGGGTATGGAGCCCTTCGGAAGAGGCACCTCTCTAGACCTCTGGCTGAGATCCAGACCTTTTTGGAGAGGGGATGGCCATGGCTTTTGTGTGGCAGAGGCAGTCATTGAGCACCACACTTGTGCGACTCACTGGAGTGCCTGGGGAGTTTGTCTGTGGAGAGTTGCTACTGACAAACTGCAGGAACCTAATAAGAGGAGCACACTGGAACCTGGAAGAGAAATTGGCTTTCTCTTCCATGTCCATGTAGAGCCCTCTACTGGCAAAACTTAACATTGTGCCACCTAGCAGAGGAGAGATTTATAGGGTTCATCTTCACAGAGCAGTGAAGGGTTGATTTGGAACTGACAGGAAATAAATTTAAATCTAGTACATACATTTAATACTTAATATAAAGTATTAATTTGATTCTTTTTTCTAGGCTCTTGAAATAGATCCATCAAATACCAAAGCACTGTACCGTAGAGCCCAAGGATGGCAAGGATTGAAAGAATACGACCAAGCATTGGTAAAATTTTGTCCTAAATTTCAGTTTTTAAAAATAGACAACCACCTTTGTAAGTCATATACCTAATATTTCCTAAAAACTTTTTTCCAATTGAAGGCTGATCTTAAGAAAGCTCAGGAAATAGCACCAGAAGATAAAGGTAAGTTGGCAGTTTTTGTAGTGAAAGTTCACTTTGTCCTTTAAGAATTTCTCTTAATGAAACACTGTACCCTTTGCCACTTAGATATTTATTCCACAGATATTACAGAATGCCTGTCATTGGGCCAGGCACTGATCATACTTCATTGAGCAAGTTAGGGTCCCTGCTCTCAGAGAGCTTACATTCTAGACCCTCTCCAGAATACTGTCTTCACATATCTGAATACTATTTGTTCTACTGTATCATTTGAGATCTAGTTCCTATTCGTTTAATTCTAGTCAAAAGTACCAAATGACTATTATGGTGAATTTAATGTTTATGACCATTCCTTAAACTGAATGTGGCCATAACCCAAATATTCTAGCCAATAGACTAATAGAAAAGCTTTGTGATACCATGACAAAAATAAGGTTGTCTTTCAACTACACCAACTACTAATAGTGATACTACATCTAGATATTAAAATATACCTTTGGCTTCTTTAATACTAAAGTAAAACAGGAGGCACTTCTCTAATGGAGAAGGCAAATCTGTATAATTCAATTGAATTCTCTCAATAGACAGTTTTCTAAAATTATGCTTAGTGATTATGTATTGCTTTCTCAGTATACATTATTCTGTTAATAGGGCAAGAAGAATTTATCAAGGGGAAGTTAACTATCATACTAAAACATCTGTTTATTGTTCAACCTAATTTTTGGATGTTTGAAAACTCACTCCTATTACATATTTATTTTGCAGCTATCCAGGCAGAATTGCTGAAAGTCAAACAAAAGATAAAGGCACAGAAAGATAAAGAGAAGGCAGCGTATGCAAAAATGTTTGCTTAATAAGGAATTCAGTTATCCTTAAATATTACACATTGATGTATAAAGGCAATAAGAAAATTTAAGGGATTTTTGTCTATTAAATATTATCCCTAATGTGTTTCCTTTGATACTTCAGTTCCCCATTGTTTACAGTTTAGAAATACTTATACTGGTTCACTCTTAATAAAAGTGTTACAAAGTACAGTGAAGTTGACCCCACCCCTCCGGCTATCTGTATTACAAAGAATAATGGTGTTCAACCTATTTTTAAACTAAAGATACATCTTGTTGAATAAACAGATGAAAGCTTACGTTTGTGTTAGTTCCCTCAATTCTTTGATACAGCTTTCTGTAAACTGGTTGGTTTGTGCTGGTGACTCTAAGGGCCAGATAGTAAATTTTTAGGACCACTGTATTCTGTCACAACTACTCATTTCTGCAAAAGGGATGGCATGGCTGTGTTCCAAGAAAACTGTAAGAAAAGTGGTGGGCTGGATGCCAACCTCAGGTCTAAACTATACATTTATTTTCATACTTGAAGTCTTGAATTTGGCAAGTCAAATGTACATGAAAGGCCAATAGTTTATTCTGCTCTTAGTAATGAATCTTTGAAGAATTGAAGAGATAAGTAAATGCTACATCACTAATAAAGTTTTATTTAAGATAAATATTGATAGTTTTTTATGGGACAAATTTAGGTATAGTATAAAATTATTTCCCTGATATTTTATGAACATTCTGATCAGTAATATGCTATAAGATATGTTGATACTTGCTAATTTCTCAACATTATAAAGAAAGTGTTTATAAGACTTGCCTGCAAATGAAATTAGTTATAGTTTACATTCCATTGTAAGCAGGTCCTCCACCACCTTCGGGTACCACCCAGTTAATATTCTGACTTGGATCTTTAATATCACATGTTTTACAATGCACACAGTTCTGAGCATTTATCTGTAACCGAAATCCATCACCTTGTTCCAAAGGTACAAATTCATAAACTCCTGTAAAGAGAAATAATATTGTTAAGTACCTAATTTTTTCAACTTTCAAAATTCAAAAATAGAAATTGAAGTCCTGGAAATAGTAGCTACAGAAACCTTGAAAGTTTTATTTTTCAGAATGTTTACCCATAGAGCATATTACAAAGATCTTGGCTGATTTTGAGTTACAATTCTGTATATATAATGTGCTATATGGTACTATAGCTGAAAAAAAAAACAGAGCCAGTCTTAACCCTGTTTATAACCTGGTATTATGACCGAAGTGATTAAAATAAAGTCAAATACAGTCAAAGTCCCTGCCCTCAGACATTCTAGTCCCTCTCCACAGTGTACTAATTTTTACACAGCTGAACACTATTTTAGTGTATCATTTGAGACTCAGTTACCATTTTGTAATTGTAGTTAAAAACTCAGCACTAAAAGATACAGTATTCATGATGAATTTCAAATTTGGGACCATTTTCTTGAGTTGAATGTGGCTATAGCTCGGTATTTTAGCATCTCTCTCTCTCTCTCTCTCTCTCTCTCTCTCTCTCTCTCTCTCTTTCTCTCATATATATATATATATATATATATATATATATATATATACCGTGTATGTGTATGCACGCAACCATAACATTTTTTTTAAAGTTGTGTGAATGTGGAAAGAGGTATTCTTTGGTGTTCTGTGGGCCTTATCCTGGTCCGAGGGTAGACACAGAAAGACCTCTTGAGAAATGTCCTCTGAATTAGGCTTCAAAAAGAAATCCTATTATTTTAACATTGCTAGAGTAAGAACCATAAAATAATGTTTTCTTTAAAAAGCTGGATATAGGAGTCATTTATAATTTCCAAGCAATGGAGACATATTTCGTACATGTTTAAAGCAAATAGGAATGAATGGAAATCATAGTACTGACCTGCAGGGCAGAAGCGCTGCTCGGGCCCATCATATATTGACAGATTTCTATTTACAGGTATACTGTCATCCTTTAAGGTTAAATGTGCTGGCTGGTCATGTTCATGATTAGTACCACTCAGAGCCACAGATGACAAAAGGTCAAAACTAATCTGTCCATCAGGTTTCGGATACTCAATAGGTGTGCAATCCTTGGCTGGCTTGAGCCGATCAGAGTCAGAACCTTCAAAAGTTTTGAGGAAGATTTTAAATAAATATACAACACTAATTTTGAAGTACTTAAAAAAAAAACTTTTATAAAACTTGAAAATATACCAAAGAAATAAGACTTTACTCTCATAAAAATGATACTCTGTTCACTTAAAGAGACTGAAGCAAATTTAAAACAAAGTAATAAAAAAGATAACTTTCTCAGCTACTTAATGGATTCCATTCATGAGTTTTTAATGATTATAACACATTCAAATATGTTGTTATTACCTTTATGTTTTAGAGTCCATGGTTCCATTCCTCTAAGTATCCAGTAAAAGATTCCAGTGTAAATCATCCCTCCATATAAACCCAGGAATCCATGGCAGGAGGGTCTTATATTTCTAACAGAATATAGCTCTTTCCACACCCATGATTTCTTCAAATTGTCCTCATACTCAGTTACATGGAGTCCTTTTATTAAAAATACGAAATGTTAAGTGTGAAACTGCCTCAAGGAGTATAAAATACTTGATCAAGGTATTTTGTTTCTGAAATATTTGATGAATGGATCTTAAATTTAAAAAACAGGTGGTCACAAGAACACACAATGTTTCATTTATAAATGTTGGCAGCATCTAAATTTGATTTCTTATATTGGTAGCATGGAAAGTTAAGTTTTAAAATTAGGGAACCTGAAAAGGAAGCTTGAGTTTATGCTTCCTATAAAAGTAAAAAAAAAATTATCATTGATCAATGAAACACTTCTGTTATGGGTTGAATTTTGACCCCCCCCCCCCCCCCCACAACCCACCCCCGACGAGACATTTTAAAGTCTAAACCTCCCAGTATTTAAGAATGGATCAGAATGGGGTTGTTGCAAATGTAATAGTGAAGATGAGGTCATACTGGAGTAAAGGGAGCCCTTAATCCAGACTGGGGTCCTTATGGGGCACAGACAAGCAGAAGATAGGTAAAGATGGAGGCAGAGATTGGAGTTAATTCTATCACAAACCAAGAGAATGCCTGAGGCTTTCAGAAGCTTGGGAGGCAAGAAAGGATTCACCCAGAGACTACACAAAGAGTATGGTCCTGTCAACACCTTAATTTCAAACTGCTAGCCTGTAAAACTCAAATGTTGTTTTAAGCCACCCAGTTGGTGGTAGTTGTGGAAGCCCTAGGAAATTATAACAATACCTAAAACTTGGTGCATGCATTTAATACTTAATGGGACAAAGTGGTTCTTATAAACGTTTGTGAATTACATAATGACTGTTCTTTTTTAAATGTTTTTATTGATTTCAGAGAGAAGGAAGGAGAGATAGAAAGTTCAATGATGAGAATCATTGATCAACTGCCTCCTGCAAGCCCTCTACTGGGGATCTAGCCCATGACCTGGCATGTGCCTGACCCAGAATCAAACTGTGATCTGGTTCACATCAGCCGGGCAGTGACTGTGTTCCTTCCAGTCATTATTTCCTGTTCTGGCTCCACTTCTCTCCTTCGGGCTTTAATCCCTAACTTAGTTTTCGGTGATGTACTTGCTCCAGTACTTTCTATGTGCGGTATTATGTTTACATGACAAGTTGGTCCAAAAAGGAAAGACACTTGGCAAGAAAATCAGAAAAATGTTCCACTACTCAACCATCACACTCCACCTTGCTGTTTCTGTTCTACTTTATCTCCTCCTTCTCCCCCACCCTAGGCTTCCCTTCTTACAAAGATCCGAAGGCATAATCAGATTTTCCTTCCAAGAGGCAGGAGACAAAGACTAAGTTGATAAATTATATAGTGTATGAAAGATGGGAAAAAATTATAGAAAAAAACCTCGTGTGGATTGGGGCGTGTTGAGAGTGCTGTGTGTTGCAAATCAATTGGATTCACTATGAGAGGTATTTGACAAAGGGGAAGGAAGGAGAGAGTTGGCCATGAGCAAGGACAAGAGAAGGAAGCATGCTTGACACGTTCCTGTCAGTGAGGAAGCCCTGTGACTGGAACGAGAGTAAACAGGTGAAGTCAGAGAGGTGAGGGAACTTTGGCTTTTACTCTGAGAAAAGTGGAGAGTCATTAGGTTTTTTTAGACTAAGGGTTTACTGAGGCCTCAGTGCTAGCTGTTCCTCTCCACTACAGTAGGAGTGTCATAAATGCTGGTGCTTGCCAACCCTGCCAAGGATGGTGCTGGATTCTGTAGTTTGCACAGCTCTTCTGTTTTCAGACAAGACACTTTGGTATTTGCGAGATATCTTACTGTGTATATTATACTAGAGGCCCGGTGCACAAAAATTTGTGCACTCGGGGGGGGGGGGGGTCCCTCAGCCCGGCCTGTGCCCTCTCGCAGTCTGGGACCCCTCGGGAGATAACGACCTGCTGGCTTAGGCCTGCTCCCGGGTGGCAGAGGGCAGGCCCAATCCCTAGGTGCAGCCCCTGGTCGGGCTCAGAGCAGGGCCGATTGGGGAGTTGGGGTGCCGCCCCCTGTCATGCACAGAGCAGGGCGGATCTGGAGGTTGTGATGCCACCCCTAGTCACACTCAGGGTAGGGCCGATTAGGGGGTTGGGGCACTGCCCCGTCACACTCAAGGCAGGGTAGATAGGGAAGTTGCGGCGCCACCCCGTCACGCACAGAGCAGGGTGGATCAGGGGGTTGGGGCTCCGTACCCTGTCACACACAGAGCAGGGTTGATCAGGGGGTTGGGGAACTCCCCCGTCATGCACAGAACAGGGCCCATCGGGGGGGTTGGGGCACCGCCCCTCGTCACACACAGAGCAGGGTTGATCAGGGGGTTGGGGAACTCCCCCGTCATGCACAGAACAGGGCCCATCGGGGGGGTTAGGGCACCGCCCCTCGTCACACACAGAGCAGGGCAGATCAGGGGGTTGGGGTGCTGCCCCCTGTCATGCACAGAGCAGGGCCCATCAGGGGGGTTGGGGCTCCGTACCCTGTCACACATAGGGCTGGGCCAATCAGGGGGTTGAGGAGCTCCCCACTGTCACTCACAGAGCAGGGCCCATCAGGGGGATTGGGGCACCGCCCCTCATCACACACAGAGCAGGGCGGATCAGGGGGTTGGGGCGCTGCCCTCTATCACCCACAGAGCAGGGCCAATCAGGGGGTTGGGGCGCCGCCACTGTCACACTCAGGGCAGGGCCGATGGGGAGGTTATGGCTCTACCTCATCACACACAGAGCAGGTCCCGTGGGGGGGGGGGGGTGTTTGGGCGCCGCCCTCTATCACCCACAGAGCAGGGCCAATCAGGGGGTTGGGGCGCTGCACCCTGTCACACACAGAGCAGGGCCGATCAAGGGGTTAGGGTGCTGCACCCTGTCACACACAGAGCCACAGGGCGATCAGGGGGTTTGGGCGCTGCCCCCTGTCACGCTGATCCCAGTGCCGGGAGGCCTCGCTGATCCCGGTGCCAGTGCCGGTGCCGGGAGGCATATTACCCTTTTACTATATAGAATAGAGGCCTGGTGCACAGGTGGGGGCTGGCTGGTTTGCCCTGAAGGGTGTCCTGGATCAGGGTGGGGGTCCCGCTTGGGTGCCTGGCCAGCCTGGGTGAGGGGATGATGGCTGTTTGCATCTGGTCACACACCCTTTAGGGTGGGAGTCCCCACTGGGGTGCCTGGCCAGTCTGGCTGAGGGGCTGAGGGCCGTTTTCAGGCTGACAGGTGACTGAAGCTCCCAACCGCTCCTTTTTTTCTTTTTTTCTTTTTTATTCTGGGCCAGCTTTAGCTCTGAGGCCTTGGCTGCTGAAAACAGGTTTCTGGCCTTTGTTTACCGTCTGTATTTGATACAATGTTGTGGTCCGGCTGGCTGAAGCCTGGCTGAGTAAAGCAGGTTTCTGGGGTTTTGTTTATCTTCTATATTTGCAACATAGTTGCTTAGAGTTGCAGCTGAGAGGCCAGCAAGTCAGGCGGGGAACGTTGAAGTCCTCCGTCACTGAAGCAAGCAAGCCTCTCTGTTCGCATCAGCTGCCTGGCTGCCGGCCACCATCTTGGCTGGCAGTTAATTTGCATATCACCCTGATTAGCCAATGGGAAGGGTAGCAGTCGTACGCCAATTACCATGTTTCTCTTTTATTAGTGTAGATTAGTGTAGATGTGTGTAATGTAATGCAGTACTCACCAACTTGAAATCAATGTTTCAGTGAAAAACCTGACAAATTTCTATACTTTAAATAAATAGGAAGTTCTTACCTATCGTCTTTGATTGGAGATTTTCATTAGTTAGTTGATTAAAAATAGATTCTGCTGCCAAAACTCCACTTTTCATTGCTGTGTGAGTACCTTTGATCTTGGGAACATTCATGAAACCAGGACTACAACCAATTAGTAAACCACCAGGAAAGGTGAGTTTTGGTATAGACTGAGGAAAGAAACATTTAAAGTATATTGTTAGCTCAAATTTAACATGGAAAATTGACCACTCCACATTATAGCCTCTTAAATAAGATTAAAGATGTAGAGAAACATTTCTTTTAAAAAAAGAAAAGAAAATGAATATACTGAAGGAAAAAAAAACAGAGCAAGGGCAGTTTTTTCCCCTTCCCAATGAAGGAGGATTAGAATTATTACTATTTTTCTATTACAAATTTTTCCTTCTCCCTCCCCATGACTAACCTATATGAAGCAGATTTAAGAACAGAGGGTTAACATTTAAATAAAATGTTTTCATGTACACTTGCGTCATAGTGAAAAATATTCCCTAAACCGGAATGACTATTATCTAAATTGTGATCTGCTTTTACATCATGGTAACATGATATACAAAGGATGGTACCTTACCTCTGTATACACTTTTTATTTTACTTTGATATCTAGGGATGGAAACGTAGGTTCTAATCATGGCACCACAATTAGCTATTACCTTAAATAACATTTTAATTAACTTGAGAATAACTTAAATCCCCCCGCCCCAAAGATAGTTGTTTGGGCCTCAATATACATTATTGATAAAGAATAATGTAATAAAGGCTGGTGATATTTTTGGGTTAGCCAATAAAAGCCTATATATACCCCATAATGTGGCACCTAAATTACAGGTTGTTTGCATGGGAAAATGTACTATAATCTATAGTTTGAAAAGGAAAGGAGAGAGGAAAGGCAGAGTTGTTCATTCCTCCTGCATTTTTTCTTCTCTATGGGTTTCCTGAAGGAAGCCATGGTCTTTGTTGAGAAAGTGGTGGGTGGTAAAGTTTGGCTGATGGTGCTGAAAGTGACTCAGAGGACAGGTGATTAACGGGAAACAACTGCCATCAGCTGCAGGAAGACATGATGACCAATCTGTGGCCACACAGGTCCCTTCAATTAGAGAATTCTAATTTTAAGGCAGCGGTTCTCAATCTGTGGGTCGCGACCCCTTTGGCTGTCGGACCCTTTCACAGGAGTCGCCTAAGACCATCCTGCATATCAGATATTTACATTATGATTCATAACAGTAGCAACATTACAGTTATGAAGTAGCAACGAAAATAATTTTATGGCTGGGTCACAACATGAGGAACTGTATTTAAAGGGCCAGAAGGTTGAGAACCACTGCTGTAAGGGCAAGGTGGTGAGAAGCAAAATGCGGTAGAAGAATGCTGGTAAAAAGGAGATCAAGGTTCCCATCCTTTTACAGTACATGTGGGAATGAATTTATGACTGTAGTTCTCTTGGACCAAATGCAAGAGCATCACATCAGGATCACAGAGCAGACAGTATGGGTAAAGGACTTTCCGGAATGCCATTAGCTGAAACCAGATAATGGCTAAAAACTTGGATAATGACAGCACTTCTCAAGGCTGTGATCTTGTTAACACTAAATTTGATTCAAGAACTAGAAGACAGGATGTGGATTGTTAGTGCAAGTTCTTCCAAATTGGTGCTTAAATCCTAAAAAAAAAAATCGTATGGCACAATGAAAATGTGTGTTTTTAAGTTCTGGAAGGATCCCCTGTGTGGACAGTGTTACAGCACTGAGCATTTTGTTAAGGAACTGGGTTGAGCAGTGGTAGAGCCTGGTCAGGGCACATGCCCAGGTTGCACTGTGAGCTCCATCCCCAGTAGGGGGCGTGCTGGAACAAGGAGAAGTTCACTCAGAAATGCTGTATTCTGGAACATTCATTAAACTAGGACTACAAATAATTAGAAACCTATCAGAAAAAGGTGAGTTCTGGGTATAGACTGAAGGACAATGAAAATAGTCATGTAATATTTGTTAGATCAATAAAAATAAAACAATGTTCCAAATTACTGCTTTTATGGTCTTTAAAACTAACTGAAAATAAGTTTCTCAATCTTTGACTATTTAAATCGGAAAATTTAAGTAAAAAGTTTAGGTTTTTTTCCTAAAAACCATCTGAGATGTTGACGCATACAAGGCAGATGTTTTAAAATGAGAATGTGTATGTGCTATTGAATATAACAAAACCTAGTATTTGCCTTGGAATTTCCTGGCAGCTAAAGAATAAAAGGCCCAACAAGTATGGCTCAGTGGTTGAACCCAGGGCACATGCCCAGGTTCCTTTGTGAGCTCCATACACAGTGGGGGGCATGTGGGAGGCAGCCAATCAATGATTCTCATTATTGATGTTTCTATCTCTCCCTCTCCTTTCCTTTCTGAAGGAAAAAAAAAAAAAATATATATATATATATATATATATATATATTAAAAAACAATACTATAAAAAAGGATAAAGAAAAATATCTTGGGTCACATAGTTTTACCTTTCTGGTTAAAAAACAACAACAAAAAAAGCCAGTGAAGTCAATATATTCTTTTTTTTCTTTAAATATATTTTATTGATTTTTTACAGAGAGGAAAGGAGAGGGATAGAGAGTTAGAAACATCGATGAGAGAGAAACATCCATCAGCTGCCTCCTGTACACCTCCTACTGGGGATGTGCCCGCAACCAAGGTACATGCCCTTGACCGGAATCGAACCCGGGACCTTTTGGTCCGCAGGCCGACGCTCTATCCATTGAGCCAAACCAGTTAGGGCAAGTCAATATATTCTTTAAATTCACGGTGTAATTTATTTAACTACAGTGTGACACAGTCTTATAAATACTAGGTGACTTGCTGAATTACCTAAATTTTTTCCTATGAAGTGATTTTCTATTCTTTAAATTTATAACATTATATTTCAATGTTGGATTTATAATACACAAATAAAGAATAAAAAAGTTGGGAAACTTACCTGAAAGCCACCTTCATTGAGAGCTCTGGCTCCATATGCAATCCTTTTTCCACCTTCCAATGTTGGCTGAATGCTAGGATGGTGTTTCCACCTCTGGAACTCTCTAAATGGACTCAGGTATGGATTTTGATAGTCCAGACCAACCTTAAAATTTTTATAATTAAATTTGATATATTTATGCAATTAGACATTTTTATTTCAAATTATGTTAAGCTAAAATGTGAGTAATTTTTATCAGAAAACATGTACATTAAATTTCTTATACTCAAAGTACTTAAGAGAATTATATACTGTAACCTAAATTTAAATAAATAACTAAATAAAATGTTTGGAAAAGAAAGGGTAAACAAAGAATACCTTGTGTTTATAATCAGAAAAACTTTAAATATTTGGAACATATTAATATCTCACTGTGCTCTATATATCAAAGTCCATATTAGAAAAATATTTGTAGGTAAGTGTCCTTCACATTGTGTTTCTATAAAAGAACTGTAATAATTATTCAGTTACCAATACCAACTCTACAAATACATAAGCTATATACAGTACTACTGAGGCAAAAATGAACAGGATGTAATCACACTTAGAAAAAAGAGGAAAGAAATATTAAAGGTTACATTTTAAAGGCATTACTGTAGTGCTGAAATTAATAACCAAGGCTTTTATGCTTTGAAAAGATTGTCACTAGAATAACTACACAAAGATGGTGCTGCTGCAACTTGTCTGGATTTCAAAAAGCACATAAGTTTAAAAATGGTTCATATGCAGGTTTAATCATGACATTACACAATAAACTGCTACCAATTCCAAGGTGCAGAAATTCGCAATTTTTCTGTTCCTTGTGATGTTCAAGATGTAATTTACTAAAGGTAGAAAAGGCCAAAAATGAGAAAATGCTCATGTTTTAAAAAAGTTTTAAGTTCAAACCCAGTGCTGACTAAATTTTCAGGGGCAGCATGTCATAATGGGCTTTGAGGTGTGTAACTGCCTCTATCATTTAATAGGCCTATTTGGGAAAGTAGTTTAACTTGTTTGGACTTCCCATCAGTAAAAAAGGCTATACCTACTTCAAAGGATTTATGAAACTTAAGAATTCTCAGTGAAATATCTAGCAGTGCCTGACACATAGTAGCTACTATTAATAAAGCTAGGTGTGTTAAGTAGACTAATGTCTCTAATAACCATAAGCACTTTACATGCTGATTACATTAGAACAGTGGTTCTCAACCTTCCTGATGCCGTGACCCTTTAATACAGTTCCTCATGTTGTGGTGACGCCCAATTTCATTGTTATAAATTGAACATAATTAAAGCATAGTGATTAATCACAAAAAACAATATGTAATTATATATGTGTTTTCCAATGGTCTTAGGCAACCCCTGTGAAAGGGTCGTTCGACCCTCAAAGGAATCGCGACCCACAGGTTGAGAACTGCTGCATTAGAACATAAGCTTTAAGTAAAGCATTTTACATTCTTCAGATTCAATACCCTTCTTTTATAACCTTGATGATCCAGTGACTAACAGAACTCTCCATAACGGGCATATAACTTACCACAAAACCAAGAGCCACCAGGGGTTCCCCTTCATTTAAATGGTAGAGGAAAGAGCCTCCATAAGTGTGTCTGTCCAAGGGCCAGCCAACAGTGTGATCTACTCTCCCAGGTTTCCACTTCTTTTCATCAATAAGCCATAGCTTAAAAAAAAAAGTCCTAGAGTATTATTTAAATTTTTATGTCACTACAATGTATAAAACTTGCCAAGTTTGTCTTATTTATGAAAATTACAAGTAAAAAACTGTAACAAGAGAAACATAAAAAAAGTACTTCAAATGTCAAAGAAAATGATACCAAACTGCAGCATGATGAATCAGAGTAAAGAGAAAGGTCAGAAATGTTATGAACACTTTTAGACATTAAGATGTTCAAATCAATAAGACTTTCATATGATTCTAGGAAACACCCCAGAAGAGATGAGGGAAACTTTTGGGGTTTTTGTAATATTCTCTGTCTTAATCTGGGTGGTGATAATATGGGTGTGTTAACCTTATAAAAATTAACTGAACTGTACACCTAAGATCTGTTACTGTAGACTCTGTTACTCTTCAAAAAAGTATTTTACTCTTTCTTGCACAGCCCCCTTCTCAAATTAAGCAAATGATTCTCATCCTACTTTTAGAATGGTAAGTTTAAATTTTAAACAATTTCCATCTAAGATATCGTCTAAAAAGCAGGTTAATATGTACAATCTACCAAAACAATTAAACCCTTATTCACAACATAATGAATCTAAACCTTTCTGAGCTTTACCCTAAAAATAAATTTAAACAAAAGGATATAATGAAACTTTTAGATTCTAACTAGAGGCCCGATGCACAAAATTCATGCAAGAGTAGGTCTTCTTTCCTCCGGCTGCTGACACCAGCTTCCCTCTGGCACCTGGGACCCGGGCTTCCCTCGCAGCCCAGGCTTCATCTGGAAGGACGTCCAGAAGAAAGTCTGGTCTCATTAGCATATTATGCTTTTATTATTATAGATACACTTAAAGTGAAAAAATAGTCTAGTGATTGGATAAATTGAGAAAATACACAACACTTAACCTAACTAAATTTTAGGTTTCATGTCAATATACCAGGACTGAATGTAAGTTTCATAAATGAAGTTATCTTCACATTACAGTTTTGAATGAAAAATTCTTGTAGGATGTAGTCATCCTAAAACTAGCATATGACTAGCAGGTCCAACACTATTATGGGTGATGGCATTACAATTAAAAAAATCAATGTTACAAATATTTTCAAGTTCAAGACTTCTTTCAGCAATATTTGATAAAACAATTACAACATATATATGCAATTTAGATGACAATGAATTTTGATTGTAATATTTTCTAGCCCTTTGAAAAATATCCCAAATATTTTCAGTCATAACCTTTCAAGTCAATGAAAAATATAACTGTAAAATTAAATCAACATTATAATTACATTATAATACAATGAATTTAAAGTTCCATATTTCAACATAAAAAATTACAAAGACAAGCCAGGATACCTCCTTCAGTCCAATTCCATAGGTTTGGGGTTCACAATTGGCCCTCAAATCAAACTTCTTATACAGTTGTTTGGCTAGATGTCCATGGCAACCCTCTGCAAAAATTGTAACTTTGGCATGTAGTTCTAGTCCTCTCTCAAATGTTGTCTAAAAAATAAAAATGTTAAATTGCAACATTTGATAACTTTAAAAATATTCGTATCCTGGTCAATTTTGAATTGAATTATGATTCAGGTATAGTAGAGACAATGCATATATGTTTGAAGTAAAATTTAGTACTGTTAGAAGTAGAATCTAATTTAAGTTTAATATTATATTTTGTGTCTTTGTGATACTTTTCTATTTTACTTCAAAAGTACTTGATTGAACAGTTAAGTTTGTAAGAATTAAGACAGCAAATAAAGCACTTTTGCCCCCCCCCCCCAAATTATCTAAAAATATAAAGCAAAAAGTGAAAGGCCATTTCCCCACTATTCCTGACTTCCCAATCCCATCATTTGAAGCAAAAAATAATAGTTTACTTGTGAAATTTTCATGGCAGAAAATTTCCATGAATAAAAAACAGAGCCTATTTATATCCTTCTAATAGAATCACACTAAATAGAATCACACTAAATATATCCGTCAGCTAGTTGCCTTTTTCACTTTAATTTTACTTATTCTGTATTGCTGAATGTATATTGAAAACAAATGTGTTTTTTTTCCAAAGGGGAAAAAGCAATGATTAAAATCTTATCTCTCTTGCTCTCTTATATTTTTTCTTTTTCTTTTTTATTAAATCTTTATTGTTCAGATTATTACAGTTGTTCCTCTTTTTTCCCCCTCATAGCTCCCCTCCACCCGGTTCCCACCCCACCCTCTGCCCTTACCCGCCCTCCCCACACTGTCCTCATCCATAGGTGTACGATTTTTGTCCAGTCTCTTCCCGCATCCCCCACACCACTCCCCCCCCCCCAAGAATAGTCACTCCACTCCCTTTCTATGCCCCGATTCTATTATAATAACCAGTTTATTCTGTTCATCAGATTATTTATTCACTTGATTTTTAGATTTGCTTGTTGATAGATGTGTATTTGTTGTTCATAATTTGTATCTTTACCTTTTTCTTCTTCTTCCTCTTCTTAAAGGATACCTTTCAGCATTTCATATAATCCTGGTTTGGTGGTGATGAACTCCTTTAGCTTTTCCTTATCTGTGAAGCTCTTTATCTGACCTTCAATTCTGAATGATAGCTTTGCTGGATAAAGTAATCTTGGTTGTAGGTTCTTGTGATTCATCACTTTGAATATTTCTTGCCTCTCCCTTCTGGCCTGCAGAGTTTCTGTTGAGAAATCAGCTGACAGTCATATGGGTACTCCCTTGTAGGTAACTGACTTTTTTTCTCTTGCTGCTTTTAAGATTCTCTCTTTGTCTTTTGCTCTTGGCATTTTAATTATGATGTGTCTTGGTGTGGTCCTCTTTGGATTCCTTTTGTTTGGGGTTCTCTGTGCTTCCTGGACCTGTAAGTCTATTTCTTTCACCAGGTAGGGGAAGTTTTCTGTCATTATTTCTTCAAATAGGTTTTCAGTATCGTGCTCTCTCTCTTCTTCTGGCACCCCCATAATTTGGATGTTGGTACGCTTGAAGTTGTCCCAGAGGCTCCTTACACTATCTTCATATTTTTGGATTCTTTTTTCTTTTTGTTTTTCTGGTTGGGTGTTTTTTCCTTCTTCATATTTCAAATCTTTGACTTGATTCTTGCGATCCTCTAGTCTGCTGTTGGAACTCTGTAAAATATTCTTTATTTCAGTTGGTGTATGCTTAATTTCTCGTTGGTCCTTTTTCATAACCTTGAGGGTCTCACTCAATTTATTGGCGGTTTCTAGAAAATTCTTGTAAAACCTCATAAGTGTGGTTTTGAACTCTATATCCAGTAGTTTTCTTTCCTCCATTTCTATCATTTGTGACCTGTTTCTTTGTCTCCTCATTTTTATGCTTCCCTGTGTTGATGAGTGGCTTTCTGTGCTAGGTGCCCTATAGGGCCCAGTGACTCAGCCTCCCCAATTACCTTTTTGGGCTGTGTGCACAGTCTTGTTGTAGTTAAGTCTTGATTGTTGTAGGTATCACTGGGAGGAATTGACCTCCAGGCCAATTGGCTGTGAGAATCAGCTGTGTCTGCAGTGGGAGAACTTCTGTGCTGGGATACCCTTCTGGGGCAAGACTTGCTTCAGTGGGGCTTTGGTGCTCACTGAGTCTGCCCCCTAAGTGTGTCCCTTATGGATCTGAAGTGTTGTAATCTGGATAGTCCCACTCTGACCACTGGGTACACTGGCTCTTGGGTCTCTAAGGAGGTGCTAATTTAGCCTCTGCCTGAGGTTACCCAGCAGGAGCTATGGAGAGATCTGCAGATTCCTCTTCTTTGTTTGCGGTTTGGAGATGCCCAGATGAGGCCCAGCTGTGAAGCAATGAAAGCTGCTGTGGGACCTTGGGCCTTCTTTTGGAAGTTCTGGGTCTCTCTGACCCAGCTACAGTTTGTTAGGTAATTTTCAGATTGCAAAGGGCCAGGCCTTTCATATGCAAAAGCCTCTGGGCACAGCTTGGGTGGGGCAGGGTCTCAGGGGATCAACAGGGCAGAGCAAACAGCTATGGCTACTCCTCAGTCTTACGCTAAGAGGCTCCAAGTCTCAGTGTCCCGGTAATCGCTGCAAGCACCTCTGAGAGAAAGCCGCCCTCAAGTTCCAACTGATGCCAGACAGTCCAGTTTCTCCCCGTATTAGTCTGGGTCCCCAGAGACTCACCCAGAAATGGAGTTCAGAGCAGTCGGGAGCTTGAGACTCCCCCCTGATTGAAAAAGACAACCGTGTCCTCAGTTGCCAGCCCTTTCCACGTGCGCCTCTGTACCTCTGCACTTCACTTCCTCACCTCCTCTGGGTCTCAGTGTGCTTTTCACTTTCCTTCTAGTTGTAGAATTTCCGCTCAGCCAGCCTTCCTGTGGTTCTGGATGATGTCCTTTTTGTCTTTTAGTTGTATTTTTGAAGTGGTTGTGCGAGGCAGCAATTTCTGGTGTTTACCTATGCTGCCATCTTGGTTTCTTCTAAATTTTATTTTTTAACTAGTTATATTCAACATTTTTTTGTATTAGAGGTAAGTGTATAGAATAGTTGTTAGACAATCATATACTTTACAAAGTGATCCCCAGATATTTCAAGTACCCACTTGTACCATACATAGTTATAATACTAGAGGCCTGGTGGATGAATTTGTGCACAGGTGGGGTCTGGCCAGCCTGTCCCAATGGGGGCTGATCAGGGCAGGATTGGCAGGGCGGGGGAAGGGGCCGTAGGCGGTTGGCCACATAGTGTGTGTCATAGTGACAGGTCGTTCTGGTCACTTGGCGCATATATATATATATATATATATATATAGACTAGAGGCTCGGTGCACAAAACCATGCCCCAGTGGGGTCCCTGGGCCTGGCCTGTGGGATCTGGCAGAAACCGGCTTTCCGACATCCCCCAAGGGATCCTGGATTGCAAGAGAACGCAGGATTGCGAGAGAACGCAGGCCAGGCCAAGAGATCTCACCAATGCATGATTGGGGCTGGGGAGGGATGTGGGAGGTTGGCAAGCAGGGAAGGGATTGCGGGAGGGCTCCAGGGCGTGTTCAGCCCATCTCGCTCAGTCCTGATCAGCTGGACCCCAGCAGCAAGCTAACCTGCTGGTTGGAGTGTCTGCCCCTGGTGGTCAGTGCATGTCATAGCAAGCAGTTGAGCAGCCTTAGTATATCATTAGCATATTACACTTTGATTGGTTGAACAGTTAACCAGACACTTAGCATATTAACCTTTTATTATATAGGATTATTTACTATATCCCCTATGCTGTACTTTACATCCCTGTGACTATTTTTTTTTAATTAAAATTCTTTATTATTGAAAGTATTACATATGTCTCCTTTTCCCCTCATTGACCTCTCCCCAGCTGCCCCCACCCCCAAGCACATGCTCTCACCTGCTTACTGTCTGTGTCCATTGGTTATGCTTATCTGCATGCATACAAGTCCTTTGGTGGATCACTTACCCCCCTTCTCACACCCTCCCCTGCCTTTCCTCTGAGGTTTGATGGTCTGTTTGATGCTTCTATATCTCTGGACCTACTTTTGTTCATCAGTTTATGTTGTTTATTATATTCCACAAATGAGTGAGATCACGTAATATTTATCTTTCTCTGACTGGCTTATTTCGCTTAGCATAATGCTCTCCATGTCCATCCATGCTGCTGCGAATGGTAAGAGTTCTTTCATTTTTATAGCAGCATAGTAATCCATTATGTATATGTACCACAGTTTTTTAATCCACTCATCTGCTGATGGGCACTTAGGCTGTTTCCAAATCTTAGCTACTGTAAAATGTGTTGTCTTTTTTCTTGTCAATATATATAAGTGCTCTTTGCTATTCCTCCCCCCAATTTACTGTTTATCCACAGACTTCACAGTATCTTTTGATATACATAAGTGTTTACATTTTATATAGTTCAAAAAGGTTTGTCTCTTGTAAGTTTTTAATTTTTTGTCACTATCAGGGGTGGGGAACGTCTGGCCCACAGGCCGTAAAATGCTGGGAAATCTTTTGGTCTGGCCTTGCCAAGACATTAGGGATGATTTAATTAAATGTTTGACCAAATATAGCAGGCATTTTAAAATTGATAATTTTGTATGGCCCACGAATGATGTTATAAATATCCAAATGGCCCTTGGCAGAAAAAGGTACCCCAACCCTGTGCTATAGCATGGTTTATCCTACCCCTAGGTTGTAATGATAATCTAGGGTTCTTTCTCATTTTTTTCACTGTTTTTTTAAATTTATTATTTATTTTTTAAAATATATTTTTTATTGATTTCAGAGAGGAAGAGAGAGGGAAAGATAGAAACATCAATGATGACAGAAAATCATTGATTGGCTGCCTCCTGCATGCCTCACACTGGGGGAATCGAGCCCACAACCCACGCATGTGCCCTGACTGGGAATGGAACCTTGACCTCTTGGTTCAAAGATCGACACTCAACCACTGAGCCACACTATCCGGGCTTTTTCACTGTTTTAAGAAATCATTAGAATTTTTAAAAAATGAAGGTCCAATTCTACTTGCTTCCAGATGGACATACAGTTTCCCAGTAGGTACCAATTATAAAACAATTTGATTTTAATAAACTAAAATATTACTTAGTATGTTTCTGCTTCGTCTTAGAGAAAATGTGTCCCTTAGTGTTGGAGCCACAGTGCCTATAAGCAAACCTCAGCCTGACTACTTAATAGCTGTCTGACATTGGGTAAACTACTTAACCTCTGAAACTTAAAAATGTCCAAGTTAGAATTCTTATAATAAGATGCCTACTAGACTTTGGAGAAGTACTGAATAAGCAGGTGAACATATGATTCTGGGAGTCAGAAAAGGTAGTTAAAACCATGTGACTGGATACAGTCACCATGGAGAAAATGTAGAAAGAGGACCCAACACTGAGCCCCAGAGCCTCCAAATTTAGAGAACAGGAAGAAGATAAGCAAGGCGACAGGAGGAGAGGCCAGTGAAACAAGGAAAGCCAAGAGAAGGTGATGTTAAAAGCCAAGTCAAGAAAGTGTTTCAACAAGGAAGAAGTTATTTGTATCAGTGCTGCCTAGTAAGGAGGTCAAGTAAGAGAAAACAGAAATGGTGGGGAAGGGAGCCTAACTATAGTGGGTTAAACAGAGAATGGAACAGCAGAGTAAACAGAATTCTTGGTCTTCTTGCTCCAAACTTGTGGTATTAAAAGATCTATTTTAAAAACTGAGATTTTGGAGTTCAAATGGTTAAGATTCCACTGTAGTTGTCTATATGAATACAATATCTAAAATATAAATATTTTACAAATACAGAGCACAGAACACAAAAATATATATCAGAATATGAGAACACACAAAAAATGAAATATCAGATGACAGAATTTGTTGTAATATTAAATATAAACATTTCTAAAAAATAAAATATAGCCCCGCTGGCATGGCTCAGTAATTGAGCTTCGACCTATGAACCAGGAAGTCATGATTCGATTCCTGGTCAGGGCTCATGTCTAAGTTGTGGGCTTGATCCCCAGTGTGGGGTGTACAGGAGGCAGCCAATCAAAGATTTTCTCTCAGCATTGATGTTTCTATCTCTCTCTCTCTCACTTCCTTCCTCTCCGAAACCAATAAAAATATATTTAAAAATGTCCTATACAATAAAATCCTAATATGCAAATCAACTGAATGGCAGAACGATGGGCGGAACGACCAGTCGCTATGATGCGCACTGACCATCAGGGGGCAGATGCTCAATGCAGGAGCTGCCCCTGACCAGGAGGTGAAGGGTGTATGCCCCCGAGAGGAAGGCGACTGGCGGCAGTGATCAAGAGCAGGGCCAGCCGGCTAGTGGGCAGCGCTAGGCCACTAGCCAAGGCAGGTGCCAGTAGGGGCCCCCTGATTACCCTACCCACTGGACACCCCACAGAGGGCAGGGCTGGTGAGCTGCCTGCACCAGGCTGCCAGCCAAGGTGGGTGTGAGCAGGAGCCCCTGAACGCCCTGCCTGCTGGTTGCCCGATAGATGGCCCTGATTGCTGGCCAGGCCTAGGGACCCTACCCTATATATTGGAAACAGTCTCTTAGATTTAAAAATTAAAACCGGGCAAGGCTATTCTAACACTGAAAAAACAGGATGATGCAGCGATGACATACATGGACTCTGGCTTCCACATTTTGTGGTCAGCCCTGATTCTGACACTTATAACTTTGTGACAAAGACAATTACTTAACTTCTCTCCGCTTCAGTTTTTCCACCCATAAGATGGGGAAAATGGTACTACTGCCTCAGAAGGATCATGTTATGTACTACTTTCTATAATCAGGGCAAAAAAATATACATACAACAGCAAGATGCCTTTCATTGGTACATGCAGCACCCCAGATTGCGAGAAAGGTGTCCAACTGCTGGTTTAGGCCTGACATCTCCCGAAGGATCCCAGAGAGGACACAGGCTGGGCTGAGGGACCCCCACCTCCCACGCACGAATTTCGTGCACTAGGCCTCTAGTGTGTGTGTGTGTGTGTGTGTGTGTGTGTGTGTATAATTTATAATTAATTTATTATGATCACAGTATAGAAAAAAATAACTATAACAACAACAACAAAAAATAGCCCAGGCCAGGTGGCTCAGTTGGTTGGAGCGTTGTCTGTATACCAAAAAGGTTGCAAGTTTGATCTCCACTTGCGGTGCATACAGGAGGCAACCGATCAGTATTTCTCACATTAATGTTTCTTTCTCTTTCTCTCGTCCTAAAATCAATAAACATATCCTGGGGTAAGGATTAAAAGAAAGGATAAATATAAAAAAACCAATATTCTTTTATCATTATGAGAAGCAGTATGAGATAATAGTTCGTTTGCAAACTTAGCTATATACCAGAATCCTTGGGGACTTGTTAAAAAAACAGCTTTTCACCCTAGCTGGTTTGGCTCAGTGGATAGAACGTCAGCCTGCAGACCGAAGGGTCCTGGGTTTGATTCTGGCCAAGGGCATGTACCTCAGTTGCAGGCTCCTCCCTCACCCAGGCCATGGTCTCGGCTTGTGCAGGAGGCAACCACTCGATGTGTTTCTCTCACATCAATATTTCTGTCTGTCTTTCCATCTCTCTTCCACTCCCTCTAAAAATCAATGGAAAAATAACCTTGGGTGAGGAAAAAAACAAACCAACAAACAAAAACAGCTTTTGAGCCATAACTATGAGACATAGCAAGTCTCAAGACCTCATCTGATACTGATTTAGCCAAACTACTAGAAGAAGCAATGTAATAGCTAAAGCTCAAGAGCTTTAGTATTAGACAGCAATGCAAATGATTCTTGTCTATAGAAATAAAAATTGTTCAGGTGGCAATGCAGTTGATTGATAACCTACATATGTGTATGTTTTTTGAATGCTCTTTGACTTGGTTGTAATATCTTACTGATTCCCTCATTATTGATTGAGTGAAATGAAATCTTCGACACATTTGTTTTATATCTTAAATATGTTTTTATTGATTTTTTAAAAATTATCTTTTTCATAGGTTTTCTTCTTGATTTTTAGAAAGAGGGAAGGAGAGAGAGAAATATCTATCAGCTGCCTCCTGCAAGCTCCCCACTGGGGATTGAGCCTGCAACCCGGGCATGTGCCCTGACCGGGAAACATACCAATGACCTCTTGGTGCAGGGATAATATCCAACCAACTGAGCCACACCAGCGAGAGCATGTTTTGATCTTTTAAAAAATTCTTAAACATGTTTTATCTATTTATTAAAAGATGTTTAATTCAAAGACGCCTTTATATATTTTGAATGTGAGAAAAATTCCAAATTAATAATTCTATTCTAACATACACTTAACATGCAGTTTGTAACAAGACTAAATTATTAAGTTTAAATTGACTCTTTGTTTTAATTTGTCAATTTGTTAAGCACATAATTATTAAAACATTTACCTTTGGTGCACCATCCTTTTGTATGCCTACATCATTAGTGGCAATTCCTTTTATACTACCATCTTCATGAAAAAGAACCTAAAATGAAAACATATTTCATTATCACCTTAGGATTCAAAATGACCTAGAAAAGAAACAATAAACAGCCTTAGATTTTTTTAGAAAGTGAATATGTTCTCTAGATTATAGAAATACAGGCTTTAAAACATCCAGGCAAAAGGAAAAACATGTTCTTAAAATACTGTCTTTTAGAGTATGAAAGAACACAGCTCAAACAGCTGGAAATGAAAGAAATGCCACCACCTTGATCAGGAAGAAAATGGGGAAGCTACCAGAGAGCTCACTAAAACATCAGTAAGATGAAACCAAAAGCTGTTTGAAGAGTTCCGATATCAAAAACATGTACAGAGCCAGAAACCAAGGCCTGTAACAAATGAAGACCATCAGCATGGATGGAAAGCGAAGTATCAGGAAAGCTTCTGTCCCAAGTGAGTGAAGACTCCCTCCCCCTCCACCCCTGCAAAAAAACCCTAAACGAACACATAACAACAAAACAAAACAGGTAGACAACAGCCCAAAGCTGATTAAAGTTTATTTCTGGAGCAAGAAGAAAGGGGAAAAACTGGTCAAAAGTATACTTCTGAGGATGAGAAATAGGTTATTCTGCTTCTGTTTCCTCTCTGGAGGAAAATGCTCTTTGGATAGGAAAGTACAAAATGTACATTAGAAGCACATAACAAAAAGCACAGGAGTGGAAAGGTAAAATAAGGATTTGCAGCAATGGAAATTAAAAGAAAGAAAAAAACATTTTACTTGATACCTTGAAAATGAATTAACAGTAGAATATAGCTATGAACTAGAACTGAAGGCTGGCTCAGAGTCCCAAAAAACTGATATCCTATTGATAACTAGAGGCCCAGTGCATGACATTTGTGCATTCGGGGGCAGGGTGTCCCTCAGCCCAGCTTGTGCCCTCTCAGTCTGGGGACCCTGCGATGGATCACTCCAAAGAGGTAGGCCCTGCCAACCCACCACAGAGCCACCATGGGGTAGCCTGGGCCTCCCTCTGCGGGGTGATCATGGGGTGATGGCAGGGCCCCCCCGACCAATCGCATAGCACCCGCCTTGGCTGGCCTGGTGCCAGTGGGTGTCATAGCGTGGTCATCTGGACGGTCATTCTGCTGTTTGGCCGTTCGGTCGATTTGCATATTATGCTTTTATTATTATAGATCAGCAGTTCTCAACCTGTGGGTCACGACCCCTTTGGCGGTCAAATGACCCTTTCACAGGGGTCGCCTAAGACCATCCTGCATATCAGATATTTATATTACGATTCCTAACAGTAGCAACATTACAGTTATGAAGTAGCAACGAAAATAATTTTATGGCTGGGTCACAACATGAGGAACTGTATTTAAAGGGCCAGAAGGTTGAGAACCACTGTTATAGATGATCTTTAAGGAAGTAAGAAAAAGAGGAGGTACTAGAGACTTGAGTGTGTATGTACTCTAAATGTAAAAATAATGGATTCTACACACCACCTATTTGTGATTTTGACATGAATCTCAAGAACATTTTAACCAGGAGAAATGTAAAGTTCCAACCTTGGGCCCAAAATACAAAATGCATATGTATGGGCTGGAAAAACAAATTAGTAACAGCAAGTATAATACAGGGACCTAAGAGTTTTTCTTTGACTTACACACTGTAAAGGTAAAAATACGAAATTATTTTGAATTTTCCCTGGCTCAAAAATAAGAGATTCTTTCAGCAAATCTGTTAGAAAACTTAACTGTAAACTCATTCTCTGAGATATATGTGAATCATTTTATTTTATTTATTTTTTAAAAATATATTTTTATTAATTTCAGAGAGAAAAGGAGAGGAGAGAGAAAGATAGATAGAAACATCAACAATGAAAGAGAATCACTGATTGACTGCCTCTTACACGTCCCTTCTAGGGATCAAGCCCGCAACCCAGGCATGTGTCCTTGACCAGAATCGAACCCAGACCTTTCAGTCAGCAGGCTGATACTCTATCCACTGAGCCAAACCAGCTAGGGTGAAGATTTTGTTTTTAATAATTTCCCCAATAGTACTTAGTGAATATCAACAGTATGATATGGTTGCCAAAAGAGTTATTTTGAGAGAATTAACAGAATAACATTTTCTAGAATGAAGAAGGTAATGGCCCTACTCCACACTAGGCTTGAAGTAGTGTATGCATTCTGGGTACCACCTTATAAGAAAATAAAAGGGAAATGTATTCAGAGGAGGGCAATGAGAATACTGAAGGAACTCAAATTATTAACACAACTGAAAGAACTGAGAATGTTTAAGCTGGGAAAGAAAAACCACAAGAGTAAAGTTAAGGAAGAAGAAAGAGCAGGGCATAATTATAAATGAAAGGTTTCTTTCCAATTGGAAGAGGGCATAGATTTGTTCTATATAATATAAAATATAAATTTCTATTCAATATGAGAAAGAGTGCATTACCAACAATCCATGACCAAATGAAAATTTAGAGGTCTTTTCATCCCTGATGGGATTCAATCATAAGTTGGACCATCATTTGATGTGGGTATAATATAAGGAATTCAAGTACTCTTTGGATTAGATCTTTTTAAGATTCCTTCTAATTTTGCAATTCTAAAATCATATGGCTTTTCCTTTTATTTCTTTATCTCTGTACCTTTCTTTGTTTATTCTAAAGAAAACATCACTTCCTATAAACATTAAACACAAAACAAAACTATACAAACCTCAGCAGCAGCATAACCAGGGTATACTTCAACACCAAGGGCTTCTGCTTGTTCGCCCATCCAGCTTACTAAATGTCCCAAGCGCACAATGTAATTGCCATGATTATTCATTGGAAGACCTACAAATAAATGCTTACTTTATAAATCTGACTTTCTATTGATAAAACTAAAAAACATAAATACTTAATTTAAAAATTCAAATCAATGTATAATTTCTGCATAAACATACAGTCTTTTATGGTCACAATTTTGATTTCTATAATTTTGATCTAGAACTCTATTAAATTAAAAACAATATTACAGCATTCAATTAAAAATTCCTGGTTGCCTTTCAAGACTAACTCAATTCTTCTAGACTGGAAGACAAAATAACTGGGTTCCAATCCTGCTTCCCCATAAGCTAGCTGTATAACTCTGGGTAAAGCCTACAAATCTCGGGCCTCAGCTTTCTTATCTGTAAAAGGACGGAACTTCACCAGATGAAATGTAGTTCCTTCCCATTGTGTAATTCTATAATTCTGTGATTATTTATCATACCTTACCTGGAAGAATTGGCACAGGAATTCTATATTTCTGTGTTAAAATTGCAAACCTGTCTTCTGTTACAGGAGTGTTAAGGGGAGCCTAGAAATAAAATGTTAAGAAAGGAAAGTTTTAGTTCATATCTGTAAGGGTAAATACAGATAAAAAACAAAAAGTAAGGAGACAGCATGGATGGACCTTGAGAATATTATGCTAAGTGAAATAAGCCAGTCAGAGGAAAGACAAATACCACATGATCTCAATTATATGTAGAATCTAATGAACATAATAAACTAATGAACAAAATAGGTCCAGAGGCATGAATGCATGGAACAGACTGACAGATCTTAGAGGGGAGGTGGCTCGGGAGATGCAAATAACCAAAGAACTTATATACATATATGCAGAGCACATGGACACAGATAATAGTGTGGTGAAGGCATGGGGTGAAGCAGGGGCTGGGTGGGAGGCGTTCAACTGTCAACAATAAAATATATATAAATAAAAATTTAAAAAGGGAACTACCCTCCTCAATTTTCTTTCATCATTTTCTTTAGAAAATTTGGACTGTCTTTGTCTCTTTGAGATGTATGGGGATCTTTTTAAAACTTAAATAAGCCAGTTTTGCATCCCAGGAATGTCTTTCTTGGGGGCCTTGGAGACATCTGTGAAATGTGAACATCAAGGAGGATGGCTTCCTGTCTCCCTGTCTGTGGGAGTTTAGCCTAGGAGCTTGCTCCAAGTTGTAATTTCCTGCTTGATGAAAACATAAGACAAATTTTATTTTTCCTTTGGAAAAAGATAATTAACATGTATACAATAGATTGTTTCTGCCTAGATATATAGGGCTTTGATGTGAAAAACTTTTTCTATTAGAATTGATATTCGTCAATAATCATTCATTGATATCTACATCTGATATAATATTGAAAAGAGAAAGTTAATTAGGCATAATTAAAGTATTTCTACTTTAAAGGAGCTTGATATTTTAGAAAGAACAGCAGAAGTTAAATTTTGGGAATTTAGCTTACTCCACATGGAAAAAAATACAGAAATATTTATACAATGTTTTACCTTTACAAAGCATATTCACAGATACTAAATATTCTAACCTTAAAGGTAGGATATATATAATATAACCCATCTCACATAAGAAAAAACTGAAATATATAGAGTATAAAATTTTAACCAAGTCATACAATTATAAGAGCAGTAAAACCAACACTTGGTTCTCTGCATATCATACCAGTGCCTTTTCGGGTTAGATGTGGGTGACCATGATTCATTGCTTTAGAAAATTAGATCAGATTATCCTCCTTGGCTTTAGCTATTGCAATGTCCAGGAAATGTAGGTAACACTTTATTAAGAACAATGATATAAACACTTATGGAGAAAGTTAGGAAATGCCCTCAAAATCAAAATGCTGTATTTTTTTTTTCAGTACAAATATTAAAAGATTTCAAGATAATGCCTTCTCATAAACCCAGTACAAAAATACAACATGTAAAAGGCATTATACAAAAGTAAGTTAATATCTTAAAATTATAACTATATATGACATAATTTTATCTATTTTTGCTCCTTTTAAATAAAAAAATCAGTAGTTATCCTTTACAAGACAGAATTACATAAAAAGGGTTTCCATTATGCCAGTAATTTGGAAATAAAGATTCAATAAAGATTAGACTTTTCATTAAAACCAATTTTTCATACTCCCTTCTCCTTCCAGTCTGGGAACAGTTCTTCGAAAGCACGTGGATCAAGGCAAGCCCCTGAGAGAGTATGAGCTCCTATTTGAGCAGCTTTTTCCACTAGACACACACGGATGTCCTTTTCTTGCTGAGCAGCCAACTGCTTTAGCCGAACAGCAGCAGACAGCCCTGCAGGGCCCGCACCAACTATTACTACATCTGCTTCTTCTGCAAACCTCTCCATGCTCACTCCTGTGAGGAAAAAAGTTTAAGAAGTACATAAAAAGTCTGGGATGAATATAACCTGCCAAAATCACATAGTGGCTTATAAATACCCACTATGTTCTAGAACAGTGGTTCTCAACCTTCTGGCCCTTTAAATACAGTTTCTCGTATTGTGACCCAACCATAAAATTATTTTCGTTGCTACTTCATAACTGTAATGTTGCTACTGTTATGAATCGTAATGTAAATATCTGATATGCAGGATGGTTTTAGGCGACCCCTGTGAAAGGGTCGTTGGACCGCCAAAGGTTGAGAACTGCTGCTCTAAAACATTATTATTTTCAAAAATTGCCCCTCTCCTTTGCATGAGAAGTGTACTAAAGATCTTACTGTATTAATTGTGTGTTCTCTTACTTCTGGTTCCAGTGCATGTTTTATTTTTGCTTCCATAAATGAACTTTTGGCTTTGAGAATTATTATTATAAATTTAGCAAATATTTGTTTTTCTAAATAATATGTAATTGATTTTATAAATTTCATGTATTATTAGATATTTTTACAGTGCCATGAAAAATATTTCCCTCTACAAAATGATACAAAGTATCTAAAAAGTCTCAACAATTTTACACAAATTATTACCTACCTTCCCATCGTTTGTCCTTATCCCGGGGATAAATAGTATAGTGGGTAGTAATTCGAGGTACAACGGAACTTGAAGCCCATCTTGTAGCACACAGAGGTAGATAATTTTTCTTAATTTTTAAGGCATTAAAGCACTGATATGCTGCACAAAAATTATAAACATTATTATTTTTTCAATTAGCTTTTCTCAGTAGACTGAAAAAAATATATATATATATATTTTTAATTAAATCTTTATTGTTCAGATTATTACATTTGTTCCTCTTTTTCCCCCCCATAACTCCACTCCTCCCAGTTCCCGCCCCACCCTCCGCCCTCACTCCCCACCCACTGTCCTCTTCCATAGGTGCACGATTTTTGTCCAGTCTCTTCCCGCATCTCCCACACCCCTTTTCCCCCCAGGAATAGTCAGTCCATTCCCTTTCTATGCCCCTGATTCTATTATAATCAACAGTTCATTCTGTTCATCAGATTATTTATTCACTTGATTCTTAGATTCACTTGTTGATAGATGTGTATTTGTTGTTCATAATTTGTATCTTTACCTTTTTCTTCTTCTTCCTCTTCTTAAAGGATACCTTTCAGCATTTCATATAATCCTGGTTTGGTGGTGATGAACTCCTTTAGCTTTTCCTTATCTGTGAAGCTCTTTATCTGACCTTCAATTCTGAATGGTAGCTTTGCTGGATAAAGTAATCTTGGTTGTAGGTTCTTGGTATTCATCACTTTGAATATTTCTTGCCTCTCCCTTCTGGCCTGCAGAGTTTCTGTTGAGAAATCAGCTGACAGTCGTATGGGTACTCCCTTGTAGGTAACTGACTGTCTTTCTCTTGCTGCTTTTAAGATTCTCTCTTTGTCTTTTGCTCTTGGCATTTTAATTATGATGTGTCTTGGTGTGGTCCTCTTTGGATTCCTTTTGTTTGGGGTTCTCTGCGCTTCCTGGACCTGTAAGTCTATTTCTTTCACCAGGTGGGGGAAGTTTTCTGTCATTATTTCTTCAAATAGGTTTTCAATATCTTGCTCTCTCTCATCTTCTGGCACCCCTATAATTCTGATGTTGGTACGCTTGAAGCTGTCCCAGAGGCTCCTTACACTATCTTCGTATTTTCGGATTCTTTTTTCATTTTGCTTTTCCGGTTGGGTGTTTTTTGCTTCTTCGCATTTCAAATCTTTGACTTGATTCTTGCGTTCCTCTGGTCTGCTGTTGGGAGTCTGTATAGTATTCTTTATTTCAGTTGGTGTATGCTTAATTTCTAGTTGGTTCTTTATCACAACATCGAGGGTCTCATTAGATTTCTCGAGGATCTCATTAAGTTTATCGGCGGCTTCTAGACAGTTCTTGAGAGACCTTAAAAGTGTAGTTCTGAACTCTATATCTTCCATTGACAATTTTGTCCTGTTTCTTTGTCTCCGCATTTTGTTATGCTTTCTTGGTGCACCTCCTAGTGGTCTTTGTGCGCAGTCTTGTAGTTAAGCCTTGATTGTTGTAGCTAATACTAGGGGGGATTTGACCTCCAGGCCAAGTGGCTGTCGAAAAAATATATTTAAAAAATCTAGGATTGAGGATCAGAGCTGGTTTCTGGTTAATTTTCTATTAATCAGCCCTAACACTTTAAACAAATTACTTGATTTGTTTCCTCATCCAAAAAAGTAAAGGGTCACAGGTCTAAGGTACCTTCATGACCTAAAACTGCAAGATTACACATAATGCCTTATATTTGGAGACTTGTTTATATTCTGACCCTATAAAAACTGCAGACATTCAGTGAATAGTTTGATCTGTGCTATAGAGCTATTAGTTGTGACATAAACTAAAATAGACTGTACCCTTTCATAGATGAACAATTCAGTTAGCTTTTTTTCTCATAAAGCAATGTTTTCAAATTATAATATTTAAAGTAGCTAATAAACCAATTTATTCAATCTAGCTCATGTCAAGTTTAACCTATAAATAGGATGACCATATAATTTATAATCCAAACTAGCTACTTTTGAGAGTAATAAAGGCTAGTATTAATAATTATGTTGGAACAATATTGGCAAAAATGGGTTTTATAATCAGCCTCTTTTTAAATTAGATTGGCTCTCATATATGGCAATATTTTCGGAGCTTAAAAATGTATACATAATCTGAGTTAGCAAATAGAATTTAATGGAAATAAACAGAAGTATGAAAACATTTATCTGCAAGAAAGTTATTAAGCCTCTGTTGTCCTTAAACCTTCAACTCCATCTCCTTCTTCCCTTACCTGGAGCAGATAATCTAGCATATCAAACCTCATAGGAAGAGAGAAGCAATTAGGTGGGAACTTTCTCAATTCCTGGGCAACAACCTCTAATGTAATCTGTATTTGTGGTACACTTCCACCAAATCTATAACCTCAGTCTAGTCATGAGAAATCACCAGACAAACTTAGATTGAAGGACATTCCACAAAATGCCAGGCCAGTCTATTCCGAAAGTGTCAAGGTCATGAAAGACTAGAAAAGGCAGAGAAACTGTCACACTAAAGTAGACTGAGGAACTAGACAACTAAGAGCATCTGGTAACCTGGATTGGATCCTATAACAAAAAACGAAAGCTGAATAAAGTATGTAGTTTAACAGTATTGTATCAATGTTAATTTCTTAGTTTTGATAATTATATTATAGTCATGTAAGAAGTTAATCTAGGCAAAGGTTTTATGGGAACTCTGTGCTATCTTTTCAACTCTTCTGTAAATCTAAAATTTTTTTTTTAATTTAAAAATAAAGATTATGATGATACAAAGTAACTAGGAAAAGATCAAAGACCTAAATATAAGAACTAAAACTATAAATTTAAAAAAAATACCCCCACACCTAGGTGTATATTTTTGTCACCTTGGAACAGTGGTTACTTAGCAATGACAAAAGCAACAAAAGAAAAAATAGATAAGCTGTACTTCATCAAAATGAAAACCTTTTGTGTTTCAAAGGATATTATCAAGAAAGTAAAAAAATAACCCATGAAATGGGAGAAAATACTATTTGCAAATTATATTTCTGATAAGGGACTTGTATCTAGCATATATAAAGAATTAATTTCTAATATTAACAAAACAACAACAACAATTAAAACCAGACAAAGAATCTAATTAGATATTTCTCCAAAGGAGATATACAATGGCTGTTAATTACATGAAAAGATGCTCAACATCACTAACCATCCTGGAAATACAAATATCTACACTAATAAAAGAGAAAAATGGTAATTGGCGTACGGCGCTACCCTTTTCATTGGCTAATCAGGGCTATATGCAAATTAACTGCCAACTAAGATGGCAGTTAACTGCCAACAAAGATGGCAGCTAATTTGCATATGTAGGCACAATGCAGGGAGGCGAAAGGGAAAGCAGGAAGAAGCCCCCTGCCACTGACAGTGATCGGAAACCCAGGGGGGGAGCTAAGAGCCTTTGCCCTGCCCCCCAGCCATGATCGGAGAATCAGGCGCCTTTTCTGCCCTGGCCAATGATAGCAGGAAGTAGGGGTGGAGCCAGCGATGGGAGCTGGGCACAGTCAAAGCTGGCAGTCCCGGGAGCTAGGGGTCCCTTGCCTGGGCCTAAAGCGGAGCCCGCGATCGCGGTGCCCCCCGCTGCCGCTGTGGGTCCCTGCTGCCCGGGCCGGACGCCTAGGCCAGAGGCGTTAGGCCTGGGCAGGGCGGAGCCTGCAACCGCGGGGAGCTGGGGGTCCCTTGCCCAGGCCTAATGCTTCGGCCAGAGGCGTTAGGCCTGGGCAGGGGCAGAGCGGGAGATCGCGGGGAGCTGGGGGTCCCCTGCCCAGGCCTAATGCCTCGGCCAGAGGCGTTAGGCCTGGGCAGGGGCGGAGCCTGCAACCGCGGGGAGCTGGGGGTCCCCTGCCCAGGCCTGACACCTCTGCCGGAGGCCTCAGGCCTGGTCAAGGGGCCGATCCGGTGATTGGTGATCGGAGGGTGATGAGGGTCAACTCCTCTGGCTGAGGCATCAGGCCTGGGTGGGGGGCAGAGCCGGGGATTGGGGGGATATGATGGTCCCCTTGCCCAGGCCTGAAGCCTGGGTCAGAGGCGTCAGGCTTGGGCGGGGGGTGGAGCAAGCGATCAGAGGGAGATGGGGGTCCCCTGCCCAGGCATGATTCCTGGGCCAGAGGCCTCAGGCCTTGGCGGGGGTCAGAGCCAGTGATCGGGGGGAGATGGGGATCCCCTGTCCAAGCCTGACACCTCTGTCAGAGGCGTCAGGCCTGGGCAAGGGGCCGATCCTGCGATTGGAGGGTGATGGGGGTCAACGCCTGAGGGCTCCCAGTATGTAAGAGGGGGCAGGCTGGGCTGAGGGACACTCCCCCCCCCCACCCAGTGCACGAATTTCGTGCACCGGGTCCCTAGTAAACTATAACAAGTTACCACTTTATCTAAGGCAAATAATAAAAAAAGTGATAATGAGCATGTGGAGAAATTGGAAGCTTCATATACTGTTACGGGAATGTTAAATGGTACAGCCACTTAGGAAAAAAGTCTGACTGTCTCTCAAAATGTTAAACATAGAGTTTCCATATGACTCACTCCTAAGTATATACTTAAGATAAAAACATAGGTCTACACAAAAAACTTGTACACAGATGTTCATAGGTGCATTATTCATAACAGCCAAAAAGTGAAAATAACTCAAATGTTCATTAGTGAATTGAGAAATAAAAATATATCCATAAATGGAATATCATTCAGCAATGAAAAGAAATTAAGTAGTGATATGTGTTACAACATGGATGAACCTTGAAAACATTATGCTAAATGAAAGTCAGCCACAAAAAACCCACATGTATTATGAATATTCCATGTATATGAAATATTCAGAATAGACCAATTTATAGAGATAGAAAGTAGATTAGTGGTCTGGCGCTGGAGGGGTTGGGGAGTGACTGTTAATGGGTATGGTGTTTCTATTTGGGGTGATGAAAATGTTCTAATACACGGTGGTATGGCACAACTTGGTGAATATACTAAAAACTTTAGATCAGCGGTTCTCAACCTGTGGGTTGCGACCCCTTTGGGGGTCAAATGGCCCTTTCACAGGGGTCGCCTAAGACCATCGGAAAACACATATATAATTACATATTGTTTTTGTGATTAATCACTGTGCTTTAATTATGTTCAATTTGTAACAATGAAAATACATCCTGCATATCAGATATTTACATTACGATTCATAACAGTAGCAAAATTACAGTTATGAAGTAGCAACGAAAATAATTTTATGGTTGGGGGTCACCACAACATGAGCAACTGTATTAAAGGGTCGCGGCATTAGGAAGGTTGAGAACCACTGCTTTAGATAGTGTGAACTGTGTGGTATGTAACATATCTCAATAACACTGTAATTAAAAAAAGAACATTTACAGTCACATACAAAAGATTATGGGGAAAACACTGTTTTGTTTTGTTTTTTAGAATCTTGGATTTAGGAAGGTTTTTCTAGGTATGTATAAATCTCAAAAATCATTATGTCATTTGACTAAAAATTTAAAAAAAATTTTTTGACAAAAAAAGATATAAACATAATGTCTTGCTTAATTGTCTGAATGCTACCAGTAGACAGCATAGTCCTTAAGTATTTGTCTTTTCCTTGTTGTATGCTAAACCCCAGTCTTACCCTAATTTACAGGTATAATATTTTACACTCTCCTTCATTATAGTACTCATTTACAATTCAGCCATGGTTTTATAAAACAGGTTAGTGCTTTTTTTAGTGTCATTCTCTGTGTAAAGGCAAATTAGAGTTATAAATCAGAAGCATTAAAAAAACCAACATGAGGGAATGAAAAGATAATTCATAGAGTGAAAGAAAATATCTGCAAAACATGTAGCTGATAAAGAGCTGGTATCCAAAATATAAAAGAATTCATAAAAAACCAAACACCGCAATTAAAAAATGGACCAAAGATCTGATCTGACAATCCACCAAAGAAATACAGATGTACAGATGGAAAATAGGCATATGAAAAGATACTGAACAGCCCTGACTGATGTGGCTCAGTAGGTTGGATGTTCTTCCGTGAACCAGAAGGTTGCTGATTTGATTCCTGAGTCAGGGCCAAAGCCTGGGTTGGGGGCTGATCCCCGGTAAGGGGCGTGCAAGGAGGCAGCTGATCTGATGTTATTCTCACATTGATGTTTCTCTCTCTCTCTCTCTCTCTCTCTAAAAATCAATTAAAAATCTTTTAAAAAAGATATGAACATCTTATATGATAGGGAGCTACCAACAATAATATATTACACATTTAAAATATTTTCAAGAGGTTACATCTCATGTTAAGTGTTCATATCATAATAAAAGATAGAAAATATCCATGACTTAAAAGAAAACCTCACATGAATTTTTACAGCAGCTTTATTCATAATTGTCAAAACTTGGAAGATATCCTTTAATGGGTGAACAGATAAACAGAATGATGTGCATCCGTACAATTAAATATTATTTATCACTAAAATGCAATAAGCTATTAGCCATGAAAAGATGTGGATGAAACAAATGCATATTGAAAGAAACCAACATGACATTCTGGAAAAGACAAAACTATAGATATATTAAAAAGATCAGTGGTTGCCAGGGTTCAGAAAGATAGAGGAAGAGATGAATAAGTCAAACTCAGGGAATTTGGGGGGAAGGCAGTGAAACTATTCTGTATGATAATGTCATTAACGGCAGATACATGACATACACATATCAAAACCCATAGAGTATACAACACAAAGAGTGAACACTAATGTAAACTATTATTAATAATATATCAATATTCGTTCACCACTTGTAACAAATGTACCACACCAATGCCAAGATAGTGAAGGAGTTATAGCAATGAAATTTTCAGCAAGTTACTTTACTCTTCCCTACCACATAAGCTCTAAAGTTTATGATCAATCTTTGACTTGGAAATACTATGGTATAAGATCTAGTATATGTCTCATACAAGCAAGTAGCTAATATATTTGTTAGCTGGACAGGAAACTTCCTAGTTAAAATTTCAACTCCCACCCAGGAATGCGCAAATCTCTGGTTTAATTTCCTAACACTAATTCCTGAGTTATAGAGCAATAATAATAATGAGGACTTTTCTAATTTTTAACTTGTCTCTTATAAATGAAACATCTATCTGCAACTGAACAATTTCCTAAGTATGGACTATAACAAACAAAGAGTAAAGATCAACCAAGACTTTTGCATGGATTTGGAATACAAGGTTGGACAAAAGTAGGCTTACAGTTGTTCGTATGGAAAATAATAATAATAAAAGAAAAAACTGTGTTTTACATACTCATAATTGTAAACCTACCTTTGTCCCACCCTGTATATAATAAAATTTACATTTTCATGGACTGTTTCATACTAAACAGTTGAGAATTTTCCATTTTAATACCACATCTCATCCTTCATGACCTTATGAGATATTTGGGACAGCTACAATCCACATTTACATTAGATAAAAAGAAATTAAGATGATCCCAGCCAAGCTGAGTCTCAATCCTTCCATCATCTGTCTAGTTCTGAGACTCCAGTGGGTTTGGAATGATATCTGAAGTGAGAGAACCTGAGCTGTGTGAAACAAGTTGTTTTATTTATTTTTCTAATTAAGGGAGAGATGACAACCTGGCATAGGATAATTATTTCTAGTCTTTAAATCCAATTGCAGAATTCATACATTTTATGTTTTACTCCTTGCAATAAAATGATTTTTTAAAATCCTCACCTGAGGCTATGTTTATTGATTTGAGAGAAAGAGAGAGAGAGAGAGAGAGAGAAAGAGAGATCAATTGGTTGACTCACTTACTTGCCCCAAAGGGGTGATTGAACCTGCAACTTTTTGGTGCACTGGACAACACTCCAACTAACTTAGCCACCCAGACAGGGCTCTCCAATAAAATGATTTTTTTGACAGAAGTAAAAACCTGGCATCAGACAATAATTAAAGATTATGATTAATCTTAATCATAATACTACCTTGTTTATTCCAACTAAATTAGGTAGTAGGGCAGATGAATGCAGAAGGAAAAGAGATTTGGAGTGACACTTCTAAAGTCTTTTAAACACTAAAAGTCTCACCAAGCCAGTGTGGCCCAGTGGTTGAGCACTGACCTATGAACCAAGAGGTTACTGGGTTGGATTCCTGGTCAGGGCAGTGCAGTTAGGTGAGTGCAGAAGGCAACCAATCAATGATTCTCTCTCATCATTGATGTTTCTATCTGTCTTGCCCTCTCCCTTCCTCTCTGAAATCAATAAAAATATATTAAAAAAAACTCCACTAAATGTCTGTTTTTGATAATCACTCTTAAGTTGGTAAGTAAACTAAATTTCTCTATTGCAAATGCATACTAAAAATGTTTTATTGGGAATAATTTTTTAAACCTTAAATAATCCTTCACATATCCTAAATCTAAAAAAGTACTTAAGACAAATAAAGATACTATAGAACTCAGTCCCAGAGTTCAAATATAGTAATAGCATCATTCAAAAGAGCATTTAAGAATCTTTATTATTTACATTTTTATTAAAAGACATAGCAATATTTTAAGTTTTAGTTTAGTGTCGCATTACCGTAGCTTAAAGTTGAAAAGTTTTCATCTGCTCCTGAAAACTGATGATTTGGTATTAGACAAAACTGTAATTCTGTTGCTCATACAGCTAGTGATTTTCTTGAGAATATTTGGAACTGGGGAGTCTGATATCCTCTGGAGGGTTAAAAAAAATCATGACCTTTACTCCTTTTCTGAAAACAAATCTGATATTTCACTTTAAAGTGTACACTTAGGCACCTTGGCTTAATTTTGGTGGAGAAGTGAGCTCAAAAGTCCATTGAACTCATAACATCACCCTATCAAAGTCACACTGACAGTGCATTTGTGCTTGTCTCTAAATGTGCTTGTCTCTAAAACATTTAAATGTTAGCCCAGTAGTACTAACACTAGGCTGTGGAAATGGCAATGACTTAAGCATCCAAGGAAAATGGAAATGGTAAATTTGGTGGAATTATGTTAGCACTTGGCCCAAGAATGACTTCTAACTTCAACTAAATTAGGCAGTAGGGCAGATAGCAGCATCTGACTACTTTGATATTAAAAACAAGAACAAAAAACCCCACAACATATCTACACATTAAGTGTAGTAATACCTGCATGCGTAAAATGAACTTGAAACAAAATTTTACTTATTTAATATATAATGGCCAACTTTGACAGAATCCCACGTTAATGAAATTTACATAATAAGAACATCCTTGAAGTTGCAATAGGTATACTTGTTTATTCCACATCCGAAAATTAACTTAAATCAGATTAGAAAAATATTAAGCCAGATGTGAGAGAATTCAAGATCCTGTAAGTGAACTTTTTTTTGGAATTTTTTGTTTTGTTAAGTAAAACAAAACAAAACACCATCGCAGTGCATCATTCTACCTTTTTTTTTTTTTTTTAAGTGACAGGAGAGGCAATGTGGTATTTTCACGAGTCATCGTGGGGGTGCTAGGGACGCCCACAACACGATGAGCCCCTCGAGTTAATTTTACATAATGCAGAAAAACTCCTGGCGCTCGAAATAATTTGGTGACTTAGGCGGCACATATGAATGTTAACCATCACGATTAACATTCATATGTGAGGTTGGCGGCAAAGACGCAACTCAGGTCGAGACCCAGGAGAAAACCTGTGCAAATATTCTTCTACCCATTTCCAGTGGTGCCACAGATAACACCTGAGCCTCGGGGTAAGGGTCCGAGCCAGAATCCGGGACGATTCGGTCCGGGCGTCCACCGGGGGCCCGTGTGCAGACGTTTCCCCGACCCACGACCTTTCCCCTAGTTGTCCCTTCTCCGGCTGCGGACGGCCAAGCACGGAGGATCCCGGGGTCCACCGCCAGGTGCAGGCGGCGTGACCTTTGTCGTAGGTTGGCTTCAGAAAGCGACCGGAGGAGAAGCGGGAGGAGACAGGTGTCGACAGCCCCCACCTGTGACCCTTTCTCCCTAAACTACTCGACCTTTCCCCGCTAATTCCCCTCCCGAAATGCCCTCTCACCCGGGCAGGACAGCTTGGCTAGTGGCACCAACATGTTCACTGTCATCGGGACTCTTCGTCGGACACCAGCGGAAGGACTGCCAGTGGCTCGCCGCGGGCGCTGGACCTCTAGGCCTCGGGGGGCGCCATTACCTGCCGGGAGGCACCAACCGCTCGGCTGAAACCTGCCTCTCTGCTCAGCCCACCTCTCAGGCTTCACGGCGTTCCCGCCCCTTTCTCTTTCTGCGCCGGCGCCACGCGTGACGCAATGGCCAGCCGAGGCTTCCGGGTCGTGTCCCGCGGCCTCTGGTGGTGGATTGAGTCTGTCCCCGACCATCTCCGAAGCCCCATGGTGCACCGCGCACGCAGCCAAAGGCAGTGAGAGGCGAAGCAACGCGCACGGCATCCTGGGAGTTGTAGTCTTCTGCTGAAGAGCCTGGTAAGCCTGTAAGGAGCTTTGCGCCGGAGCAGCGAGCTGCCCACGGTGAATCCACTGATATCTGATAGGCTGTCCTGAAAAAATGCCGTTTTCGGTATTGGGCGGACGCCCACAGGAGACGGGGCGGGATTTCGGGGGAGAGGAGGCGGGGCCTCTGGCCTTAGGGCGCGAGCAGTTGAAAGACGGTTGGTGTCGGTTCCGATAAGTTTCGATTCGGCCGTCCCAGCACTTCTCCATGGCAGACCCCGAGGAGGCGCGGGTTTCTTCGCAGCCCCCGCCACCTTCCTTCTCTCCCTCGTCTTCTGATTCCTCTTCCACATCTTCCCCCGGAATCCCAGTGAGTTTGGACTGGCCAGTTCCGAGCAGGAGCCCAACGGTGGACCGGCTGGAGGAAGTGGAGCTGCAGATCGGAGACGTGAGTGGCGGGGACAGGTGCCCCGACCGCGTCCCCAGCCCGCGCCTGTTGGCACACAGATCGCAGCGGGGTCCGGGAGCGAGGGGCTGGGAGTCCTAACGTGCAGAAGGACGGAATCCGCCTTCAGATTTAGCGTGGGGGAATTAGGGCGATGCCCCCCCCCCCCGCCCCCCCATCCCCATCCCTCCGTCTTTCTGCCTCGCTTCTGGTTCCCATCATCCCTGAAACCCGAAACCACGCGCTCCGCTGCCAGGACTGTGCTGGCTCCGTCTGCCCCGCCCCCCTCCTTTCCCATCCCCCCTCCTTTTCCATTACCCCCCCGCCCCCAACCCTACTCATCCTCCCCCCGTGCTGTGTGTGGGTCAGGCTGTGACTTCTCGCTCCGCGGGACCTGAGAGCCCGCTGTTCTGGTTGGCCACCTGCCCAGAGCCAGCTGACAAGGCTGTTGTCTTTCTCAGGCTGGCTTTGCGCTGGACCCAGTTTGGAGGGGTTAGTCCCCGCCCCGTAGCCCAGATTGTTTCATTTAACGGCTCTGGGAATCACAGGGAGGGATCTTTGGTTGGTTTCTGTTGAATCTCGAATTTCCAGAAACTAATGCCCCTGTGCGAGCGAGCGAGCACACACACACCCACACACACACACCCCCCCACACACCCCTGAACCCCCCCACACACACCCCTGACATCCCCCCCACACACACCCCTGACATCCCCCCACACACACCCCTGACATCCCCCCACACACACCCCTGACATCCCCCCACACACACCCCTGACATCCCCCCACACACCCCTGACATCCCCCACACACACCCCTGACATGCCCCCCACAAACACACACACACCCGACATCCCCACCCCCCACCCCCACACACACACCTGAAACCGTAACACATAAGACATCATCGGAGGGGGGCACCGTTTCCGTATTTAAGGACTCCTGTGTGAGTCAGGTAGAATGAAGTATTTAGTGAATGAGGTGTAGTCTTCCTGGGAGAAGTTTGTGGAATAGACCCGCCTGTGCACATTGGAAACTGGGGAATGAACTGGATTATATCATGGCTCAAGTATTTGTGTGTGTGTGTGTGTGTTTAATATATTTTATTGATTTTTTACAGAGAGGAAGGGAGAGGGATAGAGAGTTAGAAACATCGATGAGAGAAAAACATGGATCAGCTGCCTCCTGCACACTCCCCACTGGGTATGTGCCCGCAACCAAGGTACATGCCCTTGACCGGAATCGAACCCGGGACCCTTGAGTCCGCAGGCTGATGCTCTATCCACTGGGCCAAACCGGTTAGGGCTGTGTTGTTGTTTTTTAACAAAATGCTGACACAGGTTCTGTTTTTGCTGAGCAAGACTGGTTTCAAGTGAATATGTACAAAGGAGTGCAGATGTGTTATCTAGGAACAGTGTTATTTTATGTCTGTGTTGTTTATATGAAGAAAATATTTAAGAAGTGAGTTTTCCACCAAGAGTTGGATATTTTCTGCATGTATTTTGATTGTGTTGATTTTGTTAGCTCAGAGTGTCTGCTTTTAGTTTGCAGATTTTTTACTTTTAAAGGAAATAATTTAGGCATTGGTTTTAAGCTATTTTTAGACTATAAGATGAAATGAAAATTTAAAGAATAAATTTCTATTATTTGACGTTTTTAAAAAATATAATTTCAGGCAGCATTTTCATTGACCAAACTGCTTGAAGCCACATCTGCAGTATCAGCTCAAGTGGAAGAGCTTGCCTTGAAATGTACAGAAAATGCACGTTTCCTGAAAACATGGCGGGACCTCTTGAAGGAAGGCTACAATTCTCTGAAGCCTGACAACTGATTTAGCTGTGGAATAACTCATACGTCCTCATTTATGATATTTTCACATGTATCATATGTTTAGGAGAATCCCCAGTAGTTCTGTACCCTAAAAATGGAATTTTTCTTGGTTCTCTTCACTTTTCTGAAAGCAGAATACTGATGTTATTTTTTTAAAATATATTTTATTGACATTTTTACATAGAGGAAGAAAGAGGGATAGAGAGTTAGAAACATCGATGAGAGAGAAACATCCATCAGCTGCCTCCTGCACACCCCCTACTGGGGATGTGCCTGCAACCAAGGTACATGCCCTTGACCGGAATCGAACCTGGGACCCTTCAGTCCTCAGGCCCACGCTCTATCCACTGAGCCAAACCGCTTAGGGCCTGATGTTATTTTTGATGCCGGCTAGTATTTGCTTAATCTTCTGACTAAACTTTCATAGAACCTTCTATGAAAGTTAATTTCATCAGTAGACAAAAATACCACAGTGTTACTAGGAGCAAACGAGGTAGAACATTATTTTATTTGATTTGCAAGAAGATGGCAAGAATGGCAGAGTTTAAAGTTACCAAAGAAGGTAACTTTGGTTAGTAATGTTAGATCCAGCTCCATTAGGCTAACTTCTCTAGACCAATCCCCAGCACCTAGGACAGTGTCACATAAAAGAGTCAACCTCATTGACTTGAAGGAAAACTTTTTTTTTTTAATGGAGATTTGAACTTCTACTGATGACAGCTTTTTAAAATATATGCTAAATATTTTTTGCCCTCTAGGATGCTTTTTAAAACAGCTTTTACTTCAGAAAATGAAAGCATGTATAGAAAGAATGCATATTTTCCCCCATATTTATTTCTAAGATTAACTGCTTCCACAGATAATATTTCTTGCATTCCATGTTGTTAGGTCTTTGATTGTTCTCTTTAAAGTGCCTTATCACAATTATGGCTCTGTACTAACTATTACTTTTGGAGCTTTGTAAGTAATAATTCTTAATTCTAAATGTAATTTTAAAGAAGTTATTGTTTTTAATGCATCAAATTTAAATGATGTGATTATTTTCATATTATTTGACTTTATTGACAATGTTTTATTTTACTTGTCCTATAGCTTATGTTGCTTTCCTTTCTCTCTCTCTCTCTCTCTCTCTCTCTCTCTCTCTCTGGTGGTTTGTGTCATATGTTAATGATTAAGCCCACTAATTCTGTACTATGTAATTCTGGACATCTTTGATATAGCATTTTATTCTTTGTAGTTATGGAGATGTGTATAAAACTGTATTCTAAAACTCCACAATGGGGCTATGAAAGGGGACAAATGGATGGGCAAATAGTTTTGTTTAGCATATTAAGTCATAGTACTTGATTAATTTTTTTAAAGTTAAAGATAACACATGATATATACCTGTACCATAGAGATGCTTATTTTGATATTAGAAAATATTTTTTAAATATCATGAAAATTGAAATTAAAATGTACAAAAATAAATTTGTTAAAATTTTCATTTCCTTGGGTTCATTACTCTAAAATTTTTTATTGAAATATTTTCAAACATAACAGGAAAGGTGAATGATCTAATGGACACCAATGCATTTCCACCATACAGATTTAATAAATGGTAACATTTGGCTGTATTTTCTTCAGATCTGTGTATGTATAGAAGTTTCTCTATTTGGAGAGGTGGAAGGATGGAAGAGTGAGTGAATTAAACAGACAGGAAACCAAATGGCTTCCAGAAAAACATTTGAGATGTTAACAGGTAGTTTCAGATGTATATTTTTATAACTCACAGCAATTCAAAGATGCTTAATACTAACAGAATTTCTAAGACTCACAATCATAATTTTCATAGGAATACATTTTATCTATTATGTCTTCATGATTACTGCTTTTTCTTTTCTAGATACTCTTTTTAAGAAAAATAATTTTCCATTCCATTATTCAATAATAGTAATAATACTTTAGTCCTGGCCAAATAGCTCAGTTGGTTAGACCGTCCTTCTGATATGTCAAGGTTACAGGTTTGATCCCAGTCAGGGTACATACAAGCATAAACCAATGAATGCATAAGTAAGTGGAACAACAAATCAATAAAAATTAAAGAAATTATCAAGAGGTGTTTAAAAAAGTAAAATTTAATAAATAATCCGAACAAATAATTTAAATGTATTTGTGCTTTTGTAAGCTTTTTAAAAAATTACAATCTAAGTAGTTAATTTAATATTATAAGCAGAATTATAGCTTCCTATTTGATTTTTATTGAAAGTATACCACATTCTTCATGCAGAAATACTGGAACCATTTTAAGTGAGAACAGAAAGGACTCAAAGCAATCCATATTTTTAATAGAATTAATTTTCAGGTAATTTATTTTCAAAATAAACCTATACAATTATATACTCAACAAATATGTTTTTGAGTCCAGTATTTTCATGTTTCAAACACTTTTGTTGTAGTTAAAATTACTTGAAAACATTTTATTCCTTTTTAAAGGTTTTAAATTCTGAAAGCATAAGATTCCTATAGCTCAGAGACCAGAAGAATTAACTAGCAAAAAAGTAGTATCTTAAGATCTGGTTGGCCGTGCAAACAAAAGGTGAATCCATCTCTTGATGACAACTATTTTGTCTTTAGAGCAAAACAAGTACTTAGATTTTTCCTTCCTGAAGTTAAGTTCCTGAATGTACATTCTAGCTCTTCTTTCTTTTCCTTTTAACTGCTTTATTGAGATATAATTCATGTCTCCATAAAATTCACCAATCTAAAGTATATAATTCAGTGGCTTTTAGTATAATCGCAGTTATTTATCCATTACCATAATCAATTTTAGAACTTTTTCCTTTGCCCCAAAAAGATATTCTCCACTTCTTAAGCATCACCCTCCCAACCCTCCCACCCCCAGTAAACTCTCATCTTTGTCTCTATGACTGCTTATTCAAATATTTCATGCAAGTGGAATCAAACAGTATTTGTCCGTATTGGCTGGCTTATTTCACATTCATCATGTAGCATGTGTCAGAACTTAATTCCTTTTTATGGCTGAATAATATTCCATCACATGTATAAACTACATTTTGTTTATCTGTTCATCAGTTGATAGGCACTTGGGTTGCTTCCATATATTGACTACTGTTTGTAATGCTGCAAAGAGCACTTGCATGCAAGTATCTGAGTCCTGATTTCAACTCTTTGGTTCATACTTAGGACAAATTGCTGGAGCATATGGTAATTGTATGATAAGCTTTTGAGGAACCACTGACCTGTTTTCTATGGCAGCTGCACCATTTTACATTCCAACCAGCAATGTGGAAGGAGTTTCAATCTTCATATCCTTGCCAATATGTTATTTTTTAAAATTATAGCCCTGGTAGTAGGTGTGATGTGTTAGCTTATTGTGGTTTTGATTTGCATTTTCCTAATGTTAGTGATGCTGAGCATCTTTTCATGTGCTTATTGGCCATGAGTATACCTTCTTTGGAGAAATGTCTGTTCAGATCCTTGGCCCATTTTTTGATTGAGCTGCTGACTTTTTTGTTTAGTGTAGGAGTTCTTTATTTTGTATGTTAACCACCCCCTCTCAGATATATGATTTCTAAGTATTTTCTTTCATTGCATAGGTTGTCTTCACTTTTTTAAGAATGTCCTTTGATATACAAAAGTTTTAAATTTACATGAAATCCAATTTATTTTTTCCTTTTGTTGCTATGCTTTTATTGTCATCTGAGAATCAGTTACCAAGTCAAAGGTCTTGAAGATTTACCCAAATGTTTTCTCCTATAAGAGTTTTATGTCTTACATTTTGATTTTTGATTCATGTTGAGTTAATTTTTGTATATGGTGTAAGGAAGGGGTCCAACTTCATTCTTTTGCCGTGAATTGTCTCTGCATCATGTGTTGAAAGGACTTTTTTTTCTTTATTTGATTATTTTGGCATTTTTGTTGAAAATCAATTGTAAATGTGAGGGTTTTATTTTTGGACACTCAAATTCTATTTCACTGATCTATATGTCTAGCCTCATCCTAGTTTTTCTGATTCATTCCTTAGCAATACTTTTACTCTCCTTTTCCAATCACATGATGATTCTCAAAGCAAAAAGACATTTGGGCAGAGAAGTGCTGTTTTGAGTTAATATCAGAACATTTTTTCCCCATAGTAATAAATACATCATATTGGCTCTAAAGTGTATGAAGACTTGAAGAGAGTTAAGATGAATTCTTAAAACAGAGTATTTTGCAAACAATCAGACATTTTCTCTGATGCTATTATACTGAGTATTAAACCCTTATTTGAAAGTGTCCATGATATGCATGACAGATAAAGCTCTACCTTAACATAGGAGCTGCAGATGAACTATGTATATTTGGTTGTAAACAAAATTTAACATTGAACATTGAGAAGGTTCTATACTGTCTACTTCCAAGAATTTACTGCAGTGCCATGCATATAGTGGGTACTCAAGAAATGCAAAAAGAATGAATGGCCTGACTGGTGTGGTTCAGTGGTTGAGCGTCAACCCATCAGTTCGATTCCAAGTCAGGGCACATGCCCGGATTGTGGGTTTGATCCCCAGTGGGGCTGTACAAGAAGCAGCCAATTGATTATGTTCCTCTCTAATTGATGTTTCTATCTCTCTATCCCTCTTTCTACCTCTCTCTCTCAAAAAAAAAGTCAATAAAGACATTTTTAAAAAAGAATGAATCTTTCTGAAGTAGATTTTTCTTAAATTTCCTATGCAAAATATGTTAATATATACATATTATCAAAATAATTTATTTCCCTAATTTATCTTAGCCACTCATGTAAATTATTAATTTTGTGGCATTCATTCTATACTAATAAATCCATTTTGAAGCATCCCAATGGGGGTCAGAGTCAGTTATGAATAGGAATTGAGTCTAGTTGATTTAGAAATTAGTGACAATTCGTAGGAGTCTGTGAGAAGAGCTGGCTTCATTAATCTAGGTGGCATCTCCTGCAGCGGCCACATTTCTGTCCACATGAGTGATGGAGTACATCTTTTCCGGCTTCTTTTGCTGCCAGTAGATCTTTGTCTGTAGTTATTCCAATACTGATGGATCGTTTCTTTGAATGGTCTTGTAGTCAGAGTATAGAGAATTGGGTTCAAAGCACTGTTGATAGGCAGAATAAAAATCACTACCCAAGAGGTTATGGTGCCTGGAAGAGAAAAATGACATAGTTTAGTATTTATGGATGTTTGCAAGTTATAGAAACCCCTTTCCCTTCTTTGTACCTCGGCCTCTTTCAAGTGTTTATTTTTCCATTAGGATGTCATATAATTAAATACCAAGTCTATATGTGTTTCCAGGGTATCTTTCCAGGGTGCCAGTGTTTGAGGGGAGTGTTTGTGCTACAAAAAACCAGGGTTCATTGCTAAATAGCTTTTCTTGAATACATCAAAAACTATTCTATAAGGTAGAAATATTTCCCATCAAATGACTATATATTATTAAAATATGATTCCATTTAATATTCTGATTCAGGCTTTTTAGCACTACTCACATAAAGATTATTTTAAATTCTTTTTTTTAAAATAATATTTTTCCATTGATTTTTTAGAGAGAGTGGAAGAGAGAGGGAAAGTCAGAGAGAGACAAAAAACTATTGTTTAGTATTAAATCAGACCTTTTGAAATATTTTAATTATTATTAGATATAATATTGCTCAGAACACATACTTATATTTAATAAATTTCATTTCAACTATTTGGTTCTTAAAGATAGGTATGCATTTTTAGACTTTTCACTAGCCATTTCAGTAAAAACATCTTTGACTAACCTTATCTTAGAAAATCACTATATTATGTATGCGTCTACCAAATGCTCAAATTTTTATTAGAATTTAATTAGTGCTGTCTTTCTTCTTTGTTGCTTATAAAATGTCAGATACTATTACCACAAACCATGGGATAAAACAAAATTAAAAATGTATGTTTATAAATTTTTAACAATGTGAATACATACTGCACTATGCATACAGTTAACAGGATTTTGCACATTTCTAAAATTGTAAAATACACATAACATAAAATTTACAATTTTAATCCTTTTTAAGTGTATAAGTACATTTCACATTATTGTGCACCATAACCACCATGCATCTCCAAAATGCCTTTATCTTGCCAAGATGAAACTTCGTACCAATTAATAACTCCACATCCCCTTCTCCTCCCAAACCTTAACAGTACCATTTACAACCTTTCTGTCTCTATGAATTTGACTACTCTAGTTACCTCCTAGATGTGGAATCATATATTTGTCCTTTTGTGATTGGCTTACTTCACTTAGCATGGTGTTTTCAAGGTCCATCCATGTTGTAGCATGTATCATAATTTCCTTCTTTTTTAATCTGAATAACATTGCATTTTCTGTATGTAACACATCTTGTTCATCCATTTATTCATTGATGGACCCTGGTGATTGTGAATGCTGTTGCTATGAACATGGGTGTATGAATGTCTGAGTCACTGCTTTCAACTCTTTTGG